TGTATACGGGTCATGTCGTAATCATAAAATTAGAAATAAAATGGTCGCCATTTTTCCACATCACAATTTGAATTGCGAGTTTTGGTCTTATTACCTCACAAAAAATTCAAAAACATGCATTGAAGTGATCAATGTATTAGTTCACATCTTCTGGATCGCTAACTTAGAATTTACAGCAAGTTACTAATGTCAGACGTTAATGACATTTTGTCCAGTTTTCGAATATCGCCATTTTTCTTAGAGCCGTTTGTTTTAATTTTAGACGAAATCCTGACGAAATCATGCAATATCTCATCAAGGAGCCTAGCCAGTTCCATTTCAATTCGTAAAATATTAACATGACGGCTTTTAGAATATTACTTAAATTTATTGAAGCCTGACTAGAAATTTTACAATAGTTCACGGTGTTTCAGATGGAATTACTTCTAGCCAAGAATTGGCTAGAGACTCAAGTAAATTTTGACCTACATCACTATTTTCCACTAAGGGCAATCTACAACTGATTCGGTTCTTTGATTTGGTTCTCTGCGGGTATTTTCTGCGCATCTCAAATTTGATTGGTCGATTTTTATTGTGTGTGCGCACTAGTCATAGGAAAAAACACGATAGAATTTACCCAGGAGACATTATGTTCTCAGTTTGGGCCCTTTTGCCACATTAATATAAAGCAAAGTTATTTCATTTAATATGTTTTGCCCATACATTTAATTTTCTGTATTTGCTGCCGCAGTCCATCATCATACTTTAACACATTCTAAAAATTCCTTTCGTTCGCTGCGTACCTTCACGAAAGGCTTGGAGATCGACTTAAACATTCAACATACAACATGGCCAGTTCTAATTTTAGATGTCATGTATGATCTATTTCAAAAGTGTATGATGGATTATTGTAGGTTTAAATACAGGGTGTTAAAAAAAAACGCAACCCAAAGAAATCGCTATACAAGTATCTTGAAAAATACTGGTTCAATTATGTTCATATTTTCAGGAAATAAAGAAGAGACTGTGTATGTATAGCTCCTGTAAATGGTTAGTTGCAAAACATGATGCCTTGGGCACTTGCTCAAAAGACAGTTGTACTAGGAAAATCAGAAAAACGCAGTCAGGGGTGACTGCAACCGCAAAAAAATTAAATAAATAACTTCCTAACCATAGTGTTTTGGCTCTTCAAATTTGGCACAAATCATCTTCAATCACTGTATGGTTAATCTGTAGAGTGAAATCAAAATCACTTCAGGGACTTTACAGTCATGGTTGAAATGCTTTCAAATCGCAGTCAAACACCCTGGTTCAGGGATACTTAAGAAGGCATTTTGACCATGACTGTAAAGTCCCTGGAGTGATTTTGATGAAACTCCACAAATTCACTACACATTGAATGAGGATAATTTGTGCCAAATCTGAAGTGCCAAAACACCATGGTTAGAAAGTTATTTGGTTTTATTGCCGTAGCAGTTACCTCTGACTGCATTTTCATATTTTCCTAGTACAACTGCCATTTGAGCAGGTGTCCAGGGTATCATGTTTTACAACTTACTGACAACAGGAGCTACACATACATAGTCTCAGACTCTTCTTTCTTTTCCTGAAAAAATGAACATAATTGAATTAGTATTTTTCAAGATATAGTGATTTTCCATTCGCATTTTTCGTATTTTGCTAGTTCAACTGTCTTGGACTAAGAATGGTACACTTAAAAAGTACTTGCCCTGAACTTTACATTAATACCTCATATGGCTACTATACATGCACTTAAACTTACTATACACACCATTGGATGTGGCATGGCTTTGTTTTTAAAGTATTAAAAAACACTGTCCTTCCCGCAAGTGGTATTTACAGGAGTGACACTAGATTACAGGCCGTCCAACTGTCCCGCAATTTGCGTATTTCAAGTCACGCCAGCGATCGCTAACCAAAATTAGTAGAGCCAAGAAATGACCACCCAAAAATATGACCCTTGTACTGACCTTAACCTTTACCATCTCTCAATCCTTGAGTGATCAATATTTGCCCTGTAATCTTTTCTTCATATTTTAGTTTGAATGGTAACATGATATCAATTATTTACCCTATAAATAGAGTTTTCCCGTGACAATTATTTCAAATCAGAGTGGAAAGATAATGTCCAGATTCTGTAATTTGTTGGAACGTCATCAAGCTATGTTGTCAACTATGAATATTTATTAGAGAATGTGATATGTTTCCTCAAAAAAAAAAAATTTTGCAAATGCGAAAACGTCGGAATGTGAACACCTTCTAATCCAAATGCTTTTAGCTGGTCCCAATGGCGTTCAGATTAGACATGTTAGACAGGTTTTAGTGCATTTAAACATGCCTTTAATTTTTTTAGTAATACTTTATGTTGGTTTCTTTCAGGCTTTAAGAAGGGCAGTGAACCTGGAATGCCACCTATATCTTTACTCAGGTATGGAATAAACAATTTATTCATCGAATGCTCACTCTGTCAAAAGCACCAATGTGTATAAATAAAACTTAATTAATCAAATGAATGGAAATTCGCAGGTTTTAAAAATGTTCTTTGCATTGCATTCTTTTTTATATAATCATATTACAAAACATGACCATCCTGTCATTTTCTTTTTCGCTGATAATACAGTAATATCATCTTTATGTAGATTGATGGATATTCTAAATTGATATGTTTCCAAATACTGATCAATGAAAGGCCATCATATGCTTTGGTCATGTTCATTAAGCATGGCCATGTGTTAAACTTCTTTCGTTATGTCTAGTTTGTCTTCCCTCGGAATGAAATTTAATGGAATGGCATCTCCGTTGTATCTCTGTACTGTTGGTCCATTTTAAAATGTCTGTCTCCTTTTCTTAGCATAACAAATCCCTTGCTGCTTTGATAATTTTCTATGTCACATCTTGTGAAAATCGATGTGTCATATGTTGTCATATGTTATGTGTATTGTTTCCCAGATGACAGAGATGACACTCCTCTCATCACGCTGATGCTGATATTATTATGTTACCACCAGAAGTGTCATATATATTATTATTATAATTAGTCTCTTATAATTTTGTGTTCGGCGATTGGGTTGGTGTTCAGCAGTCTGCGTCTGTAAAAAATGACAGGTGGTGACATTAATCTGCGGACTACTCTATTCATGTCTATTTTGCGTTTGAAACATGATCACCATAACATTCTCTCATTTTCTTTGTTCCAGTCTTCTATGGCAGTGATGAGAACAAACATTCTGAGGCTGTTACCATGGAAACACTTCACAAAATAACAACAAACAACCTAGAGACATTACTTGTGTAACCATGGAAACAGATAAGACATTGGGTGTATATAAATTAGGAAATATAAACAATGGATGGATTTAGACCAAGCCGAGTAGAGACAGACTGGAATTTCCAAAATGATTAAATAGTTTTTACAACTGAGATAGGATATTCACCTTTTGCTGTCTAAGTCAGCTTAATTGTAGATTTGGCCCAGTCCTGTTGAATGATTGATGCAACTGCATGACATAGACTTTCACTGTTTGAATATTAAATAATTGGATGATACAGAAACATTGACTATTGCTCTTCTCTACTCGATCTGAAATGTATTTTGTTTAATCTGAAAAAATAAACCTGATTTTTATTTATAAAACATGTATCAGACCTATCATTGTTGTTTTTATGTTCATATTGCTTAAATGAGGAAATAGTCATGCCTATTTTTACTGGTTATTGGTATGCTGCAGTTTGTGGTCATTTGAGGATTTAATCTCTTGAACACCCAGAACAATGGATATATCTGTCACAAATAAGATTCCCTGGGAACCCAGAGCGACAGTCATATCTGTCATAGAAGTTTTCACTAAAACTGCTCGAACTTTGACAATTTTTATCCAATCTACACAAATTATGTTTCAAAATGTATGTAATGGGTCCATGTTTACTATTCATATGAAATCAACCATCACATATTGTGTCTTTAGATGGTAAATGTCCATAAATTTGGCCAAAAATTAAAAATGCTCTGGTTTCAAACCCATTTTAGAGGCTGGTATTCAAGCGGTTGATTGGCAAACTTCGCAAAAATTATTTTTTGTGTTTTACCACACTTGCAAAAAGTGCAAAATTAAATCGCACATGAAAAATACTATGAGTACAGTATAATGTGCACAGTATAATGAGCACAAAATGAAACATATAAGAACGCAATGACATCTTCTAATACCAAAAGGGAAAGATTTGATAGATGATTAAAATGGTAATTTTCATTCATCATAAGTTGATATAATCATGGGCTTTCAACTATGAAAGCCCATGATATAATTGAATGAATCAAATGGAAATTCGCAGTAGTTTTTAAAAGGGGATTCCCCTAAAACTACTTGCTTTATACATTTTCCAAAGAACTTCAAATGCTATAAGCTACAATAGCTGTGTAAAAATCAATTGATTTATATAGCTAAACATAACAGGACCATGTTAAGTAGGTATTGTGTGTTGACTCAACATTTATATTTATTATAAGGTGACTGGTGAATAAGTCTGTTGAATCAATTGCCTGTTAGACTGAAGAGAATATTTTGGGAAGTTCTTGTGATCATTAAGGACAGGGTGCATGTTGGGAAATTTTCTGCATTCCTCAATTGAGTCACATGTTATTTTTCAAACATGAATAACTCCTTCCCCACATTGTCTGCATCTTCCAAGTTTGCACAAAGAATGCACTTCTGTGCCTAGAAAAGCCTTGTGAGAAGGTTTGTTTTGTAAAATGTATAAAAAATGAGAAAATTCAGTGAAAAAAAATTCTGAAAATTTTCTGATTTTTTTCACTGAATTTTCTTGTTTTTTATACACTTTATCGAAACATTCTTCTCACAAGTCTTTTCTAGGAACATAAGTGCACTCTTTGTGCAAAACTGGAAGATATAGACAATGAAGGGAAGGAGTGATTCTTGTTTGAAAAATAACATGTGACTCAATTGAGGAATGCAGAAAATTTCCCATCATGCACCCTGACCTTAAAGGAACTTTATAAAGACTTATTAAGAAAGGTACAACTCTGGAAAATATATAAATAATACATCAACATGGGTAACATTATATTCAGAAAATCGGAATATCTATATGGCTTAAAGGAAATGATATTAGGACTATTTCCAGCATATCTAGGTTCAACATTTACTTATAGCAGGATTGGTGATAACCTCGAAGAGTTTGTTGAATTTATTTCTGTTAAGACTGAAGTCCATAGTTCTGGGAAATACACACAGGAACAGTTGGAAGAACACACTGATTATGTAGAGAGGTTTGTACAGGATCTCTGTGCTGATGTAGGAGCAAAAGAACCTGCATTCAAATCTAAAGAACTTGTTGGGCGAGGGAGTCACTATGAGAAAACCAAAGTTGTATCTGTAGATGAGTGTGATTTCTTGATCCCCTTAGCTCTATCAGATGATGAAAATGTCCAGGTTGAGAATCTTGGAGAAGATTGTTTTAGGTATGGGGGTGGAGATATAGGCTATGGTGTAGTAACAGTCAGACTTGCTTCCCTAAAACAAGGATTTGCTGATGATATGGTGAAGAAATATACCAAAGGTAGACATATATTATCTTGTAAACTTGTTAAGAAAATACAACACGCAATCAAACACTCACTGGAATCTAGGCTTGGATCTAAATTTAAAGGATATGCTGACTTACAATATGGCCCTAAGGACACATATCCGGTTGGTGTGTGTAGTATGAATGAATACTGCCATGGGCCAAGTATATGGCTACGCTTGGGAACACCCCTTACAACAACTGATATTGACCTCTGTTTCTGCATAGAGAGATTTGGTCGCTCACCTAGAACTGTAATGGTTCCTTTAGGTGGGGAAGTAGAGAAAAAATTCTATTTGAAATTATGTAAATGTTTTGTTGAAGATTGTCACTGGATGGAATCCATTGTAGACCCACCAAATGATAACAAACATGTCTTAACCAGATGGCATAAACAAGTGTTTATATGCATGAAATTCATCAGCCATATACTTTGTACTGTTGGGGGGAAAACATCTTCCTTCACGCTGAAGACTCTGGTATTAAAACATCAAGTGAGATGTAAGAGTAACAACGTGGGTGAATGTTTTGAGGCTGTTGTCAGGGATATGTGTGGACGGAAGGACAATCAATCAGGGTGTGAACCTGATACATTCGATATAACATTACAGAATGATGTTGTATATGATGTAGATTATCCAGGTAGGGAGATATATCATCCAATTAAAAAGTCTAATATCATCCCTGCATTTATCTGGTTCTTACAGCATGTCAAATATACAAAAGACACTGACTGGTGGTGCCACCTGCTGGATGAAGGATTCCCTGAGAGTGTGCCAGAAAGTGGACTACTTTGGTCCTTTATTCAGACATACAGGAAATGTATAGACCAATATGCTCATGATGAGAAAGTAATGAAATTTGAATGGCCACATTACGCCAATCATACAACAAAACTTTCAATCAGACACCAGAGGCACAGCTAAGGTCAAATAGATCCATAGACCTAAAGCCTGACTTAAAGAATACCTGGCTTATGATCTTAACCAGTTTTATTTCATCATTGCCAATAGAAATAATGAACAAACTGACAGTGAACCTGTTAATAGGTCTATAGACTGAATCTTGACCTGTTTTACTTTACCAATTCCAATATTGAAAGGTATAGGGGTGACAAAATTGCAAGCAGCCTGTACAAATTAATGACTAGCAATATATTCTTTACCATCTCAAATATAATATCTCCCAAAAGATATGCTAAAGGTACTCTAAGTAATCAATTGGTGAAGTTATTTAAGATCCAAAGTGTATAATTTGCTACAGAAGTGTAGAATCTTCCTTAAAGTGTGCGCCAAAGTTTAAAACTGCGCAGGCGCAGCGCTCTCGCTAACCTATATAAAGAGATTCCAGGGTACAGGCTTCAGAGGTAAGGCAGGAAGGTGAACAACTATCGTCCCGTGTTGATTTCCCATATAATCGTAACCAGGCAAGTTTCACCATTGGGATTGAAAATGACTATTAGATATACTTTGTAGATGTTTATATATTAAGGTATTAAGTGTATGCATCAATCAAATGGCTCATTTTGAACATATAAAAAGTATTTGTGTTTTGTTTCCCAGGGAATTGTATTCCCATGTTGTACACACATAAATAGTGTACATTATGTTGTACTTGAATAGCCTGGCTTATATACTATTGAAGGGCATGCTGATTGTACACACAAGTACATGCATGAAGGCCAAATATTAATATTGCTTGCATACCTAAAGTAAAAATAAACTCTTCTAATCCCCTAATGTAAACACGGCGGTATACGTAGCCCGATTTATCGGGGGCTTTAATTAATAAATGTAGTGACTACATTACTTAATTATTGTATAACTCTGGAGTTTAAAGTATGCACTAGATTTTTAGAAATTGGACCCAAAACATGCTAAAATGGAGACACCCTGCTAGATCTGATACTGCAGTAACCTAATGTAGATCAAAAAATCTTACATTTTTCAGATTAACTAGTTTACTCTGCAAGAGGAACTTTACATTTGAAACCAACAAATACAAATTCATGATTAAAATAAAAGCAACATTTATCATTAGAGTAATCAGATTCTTTAACAATAAACATTCGTTATCACATTTTATACCAGCTGAATCTATTGACAGATATAAGGCAAGCCAATAACAAAATGATCATAAACGTTTATTTTGATATTTTTACTTCTCATTGAATCAAAATACTTTGCTTTGGACATTCAGCTTTATACAAAATGTAATATATTTTGCAAAGATAATTATATTTGTCAGTTTGTTAGATAATGGTGTAGAGGGGGAAGCCTCATTTTGCTATAGAAAAACATGAGAGTAAATTACGTAACTGAAATATTCAATAAGGTTTGAAGAACAGGGGAAAGGTATGTCTGATATGAGCTAGCAGTCAATTAATGGTGCAAAAGATTGATAGCTTGACTTGAGCCCTTACATATTTGAGGGTAAAAAACAAAAATTGCTAAGGGACTATCAACCTCAATGTATGGTTTACCACAGATAACAATACAACTGTTATAAAGATTGTTTATATTTATTTCATTTTTATATTTAATTTCCTTTTCATGCATGTTTTAAGTTTTGCACATTTTTATTGCAAATATTTTGTTGTACAATGTTGTAAAATTTCTAGCAAACAAGGAGTATGCAGCATGCCCTTTTACATGATTTATAAGTTCTTTCAAACTACATATTGTACTGGTCATTTCTCAGATTACATAGAACAAGGCAAAGTGTGAACACCTACCATTTGTTACAGACGCTGCCTGATCACCGAACACCAAGTACTGAACACTGAAAACCAACCGCCGAACACCATCAACAAAACATTGGAGACTTAAATGATATGTCACCACTTCTGGTGAAACTTGTGTAAGTGGAACACTGTTTTGCATAAAAATGTTCCACTAAAAGAGGTTCAATGAATATTTAGTCAGGGAGGCCACTGACTTTTAAAAGTGGTGCCACTTCGACATGAGACCAGTTTGACATGAGAGGTTTTACTGTCATAGTTTATCAGATATTATTTTGATAAAAAATAACTTTTTTTTTTCATCAAGAGATTTTATTGCCATTAATCATAATAACTTCTACAAGAGATTTTGAAATATTACTTATTTAGTGCAGCTGCCCTTAATACAACTGCCAATTTAATGTTTTGTTTGTTTAAGAGCTTTAAAGTAGATGTTCAATAGTAACTGCCAACTGTTCCAAGGAGTAACTGCCAATCTTGATATTGCAATTGCCAATCTAAAGATTGAATTGACAACTTTTGATTTTTATCTTAGTAATAGCCATTGATTCGACAAGTTTTTAGTCACCAAATAGCTGCCAATATGTCATAAGCTGTGAACACTCATAAAGTAACTGCCAATTGGGCTATTGATTTGGCAGCTATTAGCTTGCCAGTGTTTTGTGATAAATCACACACTGATAGAAGAAGCTCTGCAGTTATAGTCCTTGGAAACATTTTCATCATTTGACCCACCTGGAAATATATTTAAATTTACAGTGCATTAAGTAACCCTGCATAGAAAACAGTTATAACGGTAAATCATAAGTTAAATACATTTGAATTTACAGTACATTAAGTAACCCTGCATAAGTAATGTCCTTGGTTCCTGACATGTAGGGATATGTTATGGGAGATTTTGAATATGGGATTTATCTTCAGGAAATTAAATTATTATGGAGTGTATATAGAAATCATTCACTGGAACTTGGGGACTAAATATGAGCTTTATTCTGAGGGACAATGTTAGAAATTGGAAATTATGTTGACAGAGGATATAAAAAAAACATCTTAATTTTGACAAGTTCTACAAGAGTACATATACAAGTATAATGTACCAAAGGTCTATAAAACTTACCATGCTCAGAGGCATAAATTGCAGTATATATTTAGAGTGGGGCTGTCCCACTTTCAAAGCTTCCTCTATAAATGTGATGGCAAACTGACTCCCCACTCTGAGGTTTGGCTGGTTGAGTATGTGGTTTAACAGGTTAAACAGATTGGCTGGAAAACAGATAAACAATTGCAAATACTCAATTAATTTTCACCAATCTTTATTAATTCTTAATGACCTTTCATCTGCACGCAACCATTTTTAAGTATAAGAGGAGGTTTTGGATGTATATATTTAAAACATCATAATGTGAGATAAAAAAAGTTTTAATTTCCAATTTCATTTGGTCATTATCAGTAGCTGTGTACACCTAAGATTCATTTGAAACATTGCTTGATTTTTCACCTTTGTATGCAAAAATAACATTTACCTATAGCTTTGTTCAAGGGGTCTCTGAGATCATAAGTCGGGAGAGAATCTTGTTCTTCCTTAACTGCTAGCAGGTCAATGTTAAACCCCTCAGAGTCCAATGTCAGATCTGCTCCATCACTGTGCAGTTTGGGCAACTTGGAAGGTTTACTGTCTGTACTTTCTTGTTCCTGGTCCTACAATAAAGAGTTTCTTTTTTGCGTCTTCACTATTCAGGGGGTCAATAACAGAAACAATTTAAAACTGGGAGTTTTTTTAATCAATTGTTGTAACCATGGATGTCAAAGTCAAAGTAATAATGGACTTAGGAATTCTTAATTTTACAATTTTGTTAACAACTTTCAGATAAATGTCAGTGACAAACATACATTCTTTAAACCTAATTTATTCTTTCTGAAGGATTTATTCTGATGAAGGCAGATGGATGTCATAATATCAGTGGAGAAGAATTGGTTGCAACAAGAAAATACCAACTTGGGCAAGGCTAAATAGAACTTCAACTTACATCAATATCAAATTCTCTCCTCGACCTCTTTCTTGACCTAACAGCTGATTTGGCTGTACCTGTAATAAATCACAGAAAATATTTCTCTAATTTTTGTTATTTTCCTCAATTTTTGGATTCAAATTGCAATATCTTTAACAATAATAATGACCAAAACAAGTGAAGTAAATAAAACATGACTACATTAAAAAAATTAACAAGACATATGGGGGATCCGCCCATGAAGACGTCCCACACAAATGCACACTTAGATGGACGCACAGACCTACACTCATCAGCACAAGACGACTTCGAAAAAGTGCAATAAAAAGTGTGGATAAAATACCTGTTGCCTGTATCTGATTGTGGCATGCAGTGATACACATCACACAAAGCTTGGCCAATGCTTCGCCCCTCGGGTCAACCAATGGCTGAGACTTCTGCCACACGGAGCCCTGTAACAGGTTGGGGACAACATCGTGCAGAAAGGACAAGGTCAATGGCTCAAGGTCAAGGTGAAACAATGAGTAGATCAATGCACAAACTTGGGTCATCTCTTCGGGCCTTGGACTGTTATAGTTTACCAGTTCCTGAAAAAATAATATATCATTGTTATTACTTCAATCGATGCCTCAAATTAAAAACTTTATTTAGTTGATACTCTATGAACTTCTTCAGAAACTCTTCTTCACCAAAATATGATCCATTTGTTTGATTTTTATGGTAATAAGCTATGTTTCATTATCAGCTTATTTTCAGGAGTAGAAACCAGATCTCATGATAGCTTGCTTGGTGATATTATGGACAAGGGACAGTTGGTGATATTATGGGCAAGGGACAGTTGGTGATATTATGGGCAAGGGACAGTTGGTGATATTATGGGCAAGGGACAGTTGGTGATATTATGGGCAAGGGACAGTTGGTGATATTATGGGCAAGGGACAGTTGGTGATATTATGGGCAAGGGACAGTTGGTGATATTATGGGCAAGGGACAGTTGATGATATTATGGGCAAGGGGCAGAGCTATATGTATAACATGCTCACTAGTATATACAGCTCAACTTGGATCTTGAAATGTTCATGGCATGTTGAGGGATAGTTAGTCCTCATGCTTTTGATAACAAAACAATAAGTGATTCAGAGTTATGCCCTGGTTGGCCCACATTGAACCACCTCCCTTGAGTGTCATTATTTTTCTCTCTTGTCACTGTTTGGTATGTCAAAGTGTCCACATATTTGTTTGGCTAGCAGTCACTCTTACAAATTATCATTCATGGCCCTTAATGGGGTTTCTATTGAAAGATTCCTTGATGTTGAACTGATGTTTATCTTACATAATCATAACAAGGTTTTGTGAGACGATATCATTACTTTGAGAACACTATTAACATTTTGTTTTGTTCACTCATTATAAATGCGGATTCATTCTTAGATTATCAAGGTAAATTTGAAGCAACCATATCAAGATGCCTCAATGAATGAAAATAAAGAACTCCATATAACATTAGTCTTACACCAATCCCTTTTAACTCCTCCCCTCTGATCTTATATCTTGTAACGAGCCTGTAATAGGGACAGTATTGGGTACAGGGGCTTGCTACAAGACTGTTATTTACACACTGAATATGTACCTTTATCAATTTGCTGCAAAACCACTCAGCACCAGTTATCTTCAAGATATCTTCCAAAAGATGAACCATGGTGATCGTCACATGACCTTTAGTACAAATCTCTGTAAAAGATTTCTGGAGCAAAACTTGATACTTCTTGTCTGTCCTCAGAGGTTTGTACCTCAAGGAGTATAGGTTAGACACATGGCCTTGTTGTTCATTCAGAACTATGTCCTTTGTCATGGTTTTTAGTATTACACCTAGCAGTTGGGCCCTGGAATGAAAAAGCAAAAGATTGGAAAATGAACAGGTTTTCTGTTGATAAATTGGATCTGATGGCTGTCACCTACATGGCTGTCACAGTGTCACCTACATGACCGTCACACATTTCTGTAACTTGAAGAATGAAATTCAGGCATTGATATAATTGACCAGAATCTGTATGAAGATTTTAACAGGACATCTCACAAAACAATCAATATGACCAGAAATGAAGAGAAAGGCTTTCAGAAAAGTTCAAATCCACTCAAAATTCAATTTTATTCTTTGCATTGCATATGAGTCAGAGGAAGTGCTTTTTAAACTTGAATAAACCAGAACAACGGCAACGCCAAAGCGTAGCGAATCCCATCGAACAGAAATGGCTGGCATTTTTACAAACGAACAGCAAATATCATAAAACAACACATCAGAAAGGCCACCATTTTCAAAATGGTTGCTCACTAGCCAAGTTGTCATCAGAAGAAATAATATGCTTTTAACCACCTGCTTTTGGCCACCTTCTTCCAAAAGTGTCATTAGAAATAGACAGTGTACCATGCTTATAGTATTCACATACCAAATATGAACAAAATCGCTCCACTACTTTTCGAGTTGTAGTAAAATACGTTAAAATGGTGGCCATTTTTCAAAATGGCCGCCTTCTACCAAAAGTTTCATAGGACAGTGTGCCATGCTTATAGTATTCACATACCAAATATGAACAAAATCGCTCCACTACTTTTCGAGTTATTGTAAAATATGTTAAAATGGCGGCCAATTTGAAAAATGGCCGCCTTCTACCAAAAGTGTCATTAGACAGTGTGCAATGCTTATAGTATTCACATACCAAATATGAACAAAATCGCTCCACTATTTTTTGAGTTACAGCAAAAATCAGAAAATGACGAGTAAAGACCGCCATTTTTCAAGATGGCTACCATGTGCTTCTCAAATATCTACATTTGTAGCATTATTAATGTCCTTTATAAATTTTTTACATTTAAAACATATTGCTATTACAGTTTTACATATTGCACCTAAATTACTGTAAAATCGGCACTAAAATGGCCGCCATTTTGAAATGAGCGGCCATTTTGAAAATCAGCTTTCGAGCAGAACTTCCACTCCTATAGAGTATATGTGTACAAAATATGAACAAAATCGGGCCAGCGGTATTTGAGTTATTGCCCGGACGGACGGACGGATGGATGGACGGATGGAGGCGTTCCCTATATCCCTCCGAACTTCGTTCGATGGGATAATTATTTCAAAATCTTGTAGATTTCACCATTTTAGGCACTTTTCAAGAGATTTTGCACCAAAATTATCAAATTTGAACCCCCTTTGGCCTTTTTTCAAAAACTGAACCCCCTTATCAAAAGCTGGCTATGGGCCTGTATTAATTATCTATAAAAAAGTCCCATCCCTTATTATCAAATTATCACTGACCTGTCACTGTAGTACTGTAGGAAGTTAGCATCAACAGACTCAGGAGACATGGGTGTGAGCAAATATCTGAGAACCTCCCTTGCTTTTTCCTGGTGTTCCTCACTCAGTACATGAATATAGCTGGTCAACCAGGCACAAACAACAACAGGAATGCAACATACCTTGCTCTTGATATTGTCTAAGACACTCTAAAAGATAAGAATGCGTATTTAAAGAAATAGTATATTAGTATTGATTTGCTTCTGTTTCAACTTTAAGGGCATGGCCTATTGATTCAAATGGAAATACAAAAAACTTTGATATATTGTCTAAGACGCTTTGTAAGAAAAGAATTTAAATAAATACAATGGATTTGGTTTTGTTTCAACTTTTAGGACATGCTCTATTGATTCAATTGTAAATACAACAAACTTCACCCTTGAAGTATTGGCTAAGTAATTGATATACCTTTGTTTAACTTTTCTATTGATTCAATTGTAAATACAGAATCCTTGTCTGATTTGTTTGTTTCTTCCTAAATCTACACATTTTTTATTGACCACTGAGGCCATGATAACATTCTAAATGGTAATAATACCTTGACAGTTGTCTCTGTAATCGCTCCCTGTTCCCAGGCCAGTAGAAACTGTTCAATGGCAAATGGGGCATTGGTGCAGACCTCATGCCATTTTGTTAGACTGAAAAGACATAGAAAATACCAATATGCAATTTAGACTGAAAAGACATGTAAAATGCCAATATGCAATTTAGACTGAAGACATGTAAAATACCAATATGCAATTTAGACTGAAGACATGTAAAATGCCAATATGCAATTTAGACTGAAAAGACATGTAAAATGCCAATATGCAATAAATAGGAAAATAAAATGACAAATTCTTGAAGCTTCTTTTTAGGATTCAAAAGTATGTTTGCAGAAATTTATTAAAATTTAAGATTGTGCAAATCATTTCAAGATATCAAGCTCTGTCAGTACTTTATAAAATGGAATAAATAAACATCCAAGTAAGCAGACACAACTGAGCAGTATAAGTTTCTAAATAACAGTGAAAATTGAGCATAAATGAATTCAAATGAAATATTTTTGTCTTTGAGAAATTCTGAAGATGAATAATGGCACAATACAAATCCAACTACATAAGGAAATCATGAAAAGTACCATGTAAGAGTTACATATATGTAGCTGATCTAACCTTGTTTTAAACTCTCCTCCAGGGTTGAACTGGCCCAACAGGACCTCCACTTTGTTTGCATCAGCCATTGGAAAAAGGTCTAAGCACTTAAATTTTCCATCTTCTGGCAGACATTTCAACGCCCACTGGGTGAAGAAGGCATCCTTACTCTCTGGGTGACTCGCAACAATCTGAGAAAAATATTTTTCATGTCATAATGTGCGATTTAAATGATAATCAGTTACCTGAAGAATAAAAGTGAAACCGGTAGTGACTGAATTACTTCTTCTGTTATTTTCTGTTTTTATAATCAATTTTCAAATATATATATTTTAATCGTATATACAAACGCAGCACCAGAAAGTAGTAACCTTACATCATTTGCTCCTACTTTAAAATAAGTTTAATTACTTAAACTTTTAACATAAGGAATGTTTAAAGCATACCTCAGAACCATGTAGTTGTGTGATATGGCAAAGCATTAGGAATGTGATATCAAAGAGGAGGGCTCTTGTCTGTGAAGTTTTGCTACCTTCTCCACTGGAATGCTTTGTAAACTCATTAAACCTATAAATTGAATAAAAATTGCCAGTCAGCATGTTTTAATCAAATGAGGTTAATCAGATGGAAATTGAAGTAAGATGTTAGGTTTAGTAATGGAAATGAAAATAATTATGAAAAATGAGAACAAACAAGGCACAGACTGAACAATATCGTACCTAAAACACAGCAGTGTGACAGTGAAGAATTTAGGACGGAAAATCCAAAATGGCCACCTTAAAATTTACCCAGAATGCCCAAAAACTAATCAGTTCTTAACTTTGATACGTAGAAACATCCCTGAAAATTTCAAATGAATCCGTCAAATGGTTTGGCTGGAAACCTGTAGACAAGTCTTGAAAGTGAAGATTTTAGGATGGAAAATCCAAAATGGCCACCTTAAATTTTACCCAGAATGCCAAAAAACTAATCAGTTCTTAACTTTGGTACGTAGAAAGTTAGAAACATCCCTGAAAATTTCAGATGAATCCGTCAAATGGTTTGGCTGGAAACCTGTAGACAAGTCTTGAAAGTGAAGATTTTAGGATGGAAAATCCAAAATGGCCACCTTAAAATTTACCCAGAATGCCCAAAAACTAATCAGTTCTTAACTTTGATAAAAACAAACAATTAACATGCAAAATCTAATCACCTGCCATTTGTTACAGATGCTAAACGCTGAAGTCTGAATGCCACTCAAAAAAAATAAAGTTGGAGACCATAACAATATTTATTTATTTATTTAGATATTCACTTTTGGTGGTGATATGAAAAATTATGTGATTTTCCTAAATCATTACAAGTTGAGAAATTATCTTTATTTCTAGGTTGTACCAAGTTCAAATTTTGCTCCACCCAGTCACTCTCTATATTAATTTGTGCTTACTTAATCAGTTTAATCGTGAAGCTTTGTAGCTTCCCTGTTGCGGTGGCAGCCATGTTAATTAATTCAAAGCTTTTCCCAGAGATCATGTGACCAAGGACACCTTGTAAGGAATCTAGTGTCTTGGAGTAGTCTGCATCTAGGGTCTGTAAAATACACCATAATCATCAGTATAAGAAATTATGTTGCACAATTTAAAAAAATATGTTCCCTAAAAAATAGTCCTTGAACATAAAAGTTCTCTAAATTCCAAGATATGAGTATATCAATGGCTAAATCTTTTTCCGAGGTCAGAAATCTGAAATCAGAATTGATACCTGACTCTTGATTCATTGTCTTCAAAATGGTAAGATTTTTCAAAAATAGGTCAAAACAATTTAAGACCACAAATGCTAATATTCTAATAGCTCGGAGAGTCTTATAATGTCTGTATTTTGCCAATTTCTTAAAAGAGTCTTTATTTTCAGATGCTTGTCTCTAATATATATCGATCCAAACATTCTGTTGAAAGCCCATGGTATCAGGTTATAGGAAATTTTATCAGGATTCTGATTCCAAAACTTGCTGTACCAAACTTCATTATTTCCAGAGTTCCACAAAAATCAAGAAACTCACTATCCAAGGTCAAAATCGTAGCTTTCTAAAGATTAAAATCGGGAAATCTTGAGTCTAAAATAGAATTTTCAATATCTAGTTTATACGAACATCTTCCACACTCTAAATTGGGGTTGAAACATAATATTTATAGATCAGATTAAAATTAGAGCAATTAAAGATTCTATGAGACAAAATGTTGAAAACTTGTCTTATTGGGTTACAGTCAAGAGAAATTGGAGACAACACATCCAATGCTAGATTGACCTCTAGTCCTGTCTAACATTATTTAATAATAAACGACAGTATGCACCCTTAGGCAACTACCAATTCCAATTCATCACAATCACTCTCAGCTTAATGTTCAAGTAAAGGGATTTTCTCAATATATATATCAATTCTACATTTTATTTCATCTCAAAACTTAATTTATATTCAAAACTCATATCACTATCCTTTTGATTGATTAAATCATTTTGATCAATATTTGAATTACAGGTACCCGTATGTGAATCTCCTAAACAACTCTGAGTTTTATGAAAGTAAATGGGTGCTGGGATTTTGGTTTTGATAGAATACCTTTCACAATGCTAGTAAATAGAACATACATTAATATTTTTACATGTGAGTCATAAATAAATGCATACTAGTTAGTTCATTAATTAACCATATTTTCATTCTTAACAATGATATAAAAAGAAAGACAGGATAAAGGCAATATTAGAGGCAAAATCCGGGTGAAAAACAAGATGGCTCAACAGAAACTATGGAAACTAATGATTTGCATGAGTGTTCTATTCGGAGGCACACAACTTCTGTTCAGTTATATAGCTATACAGATAGCTAAAAACAACCAGGTGTCTGTACAGATCGACAATCATGCCAATCAAATTGATATAAATCAGATAGGGCTTAATGAAGAGGAAGAAAAGCTTGAATACTACAGGCTGAAACATGAGCAAATGAGAAAATCACTAGAAAATGTGAAAGACAAATCTGATAAAAATGTGAAGGAAATTAATTCTGGTGAAAATGTGAAGGAAAAATCAGGTGAAAGTGTGATGGGAAAATCTGTTGATAATGTGAACATAAAATCTGGTGAAAATGCTGAGAATATAAAATCCAGTGATAATTTTAAGGATAAATCTGGTGAAAATACCAAACTAAACACTAAAACTGTGGATAAAAATATAGAATCTTCAACATTCTTGACGATTTGCACAACATTTTCCGAAAATGAAGAAATGAGATTCCAAGTCCAGAATAACACATTACTAAACTGGAATTATATCAAATCAAACTTAAAAACAAACATTGTTGTTTACAGCAATTCAACTGAACATGCAGAAAACTGTAAAACATTTGACTGTGATATTTCACCTCTGATTCCACAACTGACAATATCAAAACGACCAATGTTACGTGAGATGTTTCTTGATATGGAAAAGCGCTATGCAAGCAAGTTTTATGGTTATTGTAACGGAGACATTCTTTTCAATGGTAAAGAACTCAAGAACACATTTGAAGCAATTCTAAATTTTGCAGAGCAAAATTTCATCAATGGTTACTTAATCCTTGGCAGTAGACATCAAGTAAATTTTCAACATTTTAGAGATGGCAAAAGGGAATTCAAAAAGATAAACATTGGTGATGAAAATGAAATAATGGAATTAACTAAAACTGAAAATTCTTTCATTGATAAACACAGAGGTGCATATGACTTTTTCTTCGCTAGAAAATCAGGATTTCCATGGGCGGAAATTCCACCCTTTGTGGTGAGCCAGGCCGGATTTGATTCCTGGATGATGATTTATGCAAATAAGATGGAAATTCCTGTCATTGATGTAACAAATACTCTAACGGCAGTACATCAGTATGGTGCAGTGAAACAACAAGAGAACCAATTCTATATCAACACACATTCTCATAATCACGCAGTATTTTGGAGTTCATTACTGAGAGCAAATTCAAGTATGTTTGTAGCAACGTGTGCATTGTATAAAACTATATATGACCAGGGACAAGTTAAAGTAGTACAAAATATGGAGAGGGATGCAAACGTATGTGTTTATAAGTACAAAATTCAAATCCCTGATCCAAACAATGATTTCTACCAACAACTTGGAGTTCTCCCATATGATGATTGAAAAAGAAAAGATTTTGACTTCAAATAAAAAAATATGATATCATAAAATTAATGCCATGTTTTAGAAAAGGGAATCAACTTAATATTAAAGAAAAGCAGATTTTTGAAAAGATTTTGAAAATGCTTTCTTAGCACAAAAAATATCAGGACGCTCACAAACACAAGTGACCCATCTTTCCAGAGTAACAATCTTTGTATCCTGAAGTTTCTCAAGATTCCAATGCATCATGTACTGTACAATACATAGGTCTAGAGGGACCTGTCGAAATAAATGTGAGTTCTTGACATCTTTCCCTTCAGGCACACGATAACACTAATTTATAACACAACCTGTATTTAAAACTACATGTATGTTTAAAACATGTTAGCCATGAAAATCAAATTGACCCCAAGTTTAATCAAATCAGGATTTAATTGAGGATAGTACAATAGCACAAGAACAAAGTCTGATCCTTAACAAACCTAATTTAATGATATCAAAATGTGTTTTGAAAGATATGGCGGGAGTAACTTTTGAATGCCTCTAACAAAGCAGTCATTGCATCATCAATTTAACTTGTCATTACACAAGTATCTAGTAATTGTAAATGAAGGTTAACAACTTTGATTTCAAAAGGCACCATTAACAATAAAATGTTACCATTATGGCAAAATATAAGCTATGGAAAATGTTGCTCTGCACGAGTGTACTGATTGGAAGCATACACCTTATGTTCAGCTTTATAGCTATAGAAATGGCTAGACTTAGACATCACAAACTTACCACCCAAACTGATGATATAAATCAAGAGGATCTTAGGGCATATGAAGAAAAGCATTTGAAAGAAAAATCTGGGAAGAATGTAAAAAAAGATTTTGAAGAAAAAGTTGAGAAAAATGTAAAACGGATAACAGGAGATTTAACCAATAACCAAAACAGAACATTCAACTTTGAAATTAAGAAAAAGAAAACTGTTGAATCGTCAACATTCTTGACGATTTGCACAACATTTTCTGAAAATGAAGAAATGAGATTCCAAGTCCAGAATAATACATTACTAAACTGGAATTTCATCAAATCAAAACTGAAAACAAACATTGTAGTTTACAGCAATTCAACTGTACATGCAGAAAACTGCAAAACATTTGACTGTGATATTTTACCTGTATTTCCCAAAATGACGATATCAAGACGACCAATGTTACGTGAAATGTTAATTGATCTTGAAAAACACTATGAAAGTGAGTTTTATGGATACTGTAATGGAGACATTCTTTTCAACAGTATAGAACTTGAAGACACATTTCAAGCAATTTTAGATTTTGCCGAGAAAAACTACATTAGCGGCTACTTAATCCTCGGTAGCAGATACCAGGTTAACTTTCTACAGGTTAGTCGGAACAAATGGGAATTTAAAAAGTTAAAAACGGGTGATGAAGATGAAATAATGAAATTAAGTAACAGCTCTATCCTAGATAAACACAGAGGTGCATATGACTTTTTTTTTGCTCGAAAATCAGGATTCCCATGGTCGGAAGTTCCACCCTTTGTAGTTAGCCAGCCAGGATTCGATTCATGGCTGATGGTGTATGCTAACAAAATGCAGATCCCTGTCATTGACGTAACTGACACTCTAACAGCAATACACCAAGTTGGTGCAGTGAAACAACAAGAGACTGAATTATATTTAAATACACATTCCCACAATCATGCAGTGTTTTGGAGTTCTCTATCAAGAGCGAATTTGAGCATGTTCCTCTCAACATGTGCTATGTATAAGACTATATTACACTATGATGAGGTGATGGTTGTGGAGAACACGGAGAGGGACAAGGACACATGTATTTACAAGTGGGAAATTCAAATCCCCGATCCCAACAACACATTTTACCAACAACTTGGAGTTCTTCCATATGATGTGTAAATAAATAAAATGATATATAAACAAATAAAATAAAAATAAACATTATACAGTATATGTAAAATAAAGAATAAATATAAATCATGTCTTCAATTCACTCTTGACCTTTAAGGTAGATCCACATGCTGAGTATTTCCAATTACCAATATTTATTAATGAATTTTATATGGATACATACTCCTTGGCAGTTCTAGTCTTCAACATATCACTGCGGCGGGCAGTAATCTCAACATAAGCATGGCAACTTTGCATAAACTATTGACGGGATTGGTTCTTGTCCCATGCTCAGGTCACCTGATTGTAAAATTGACCACATCTATGACGGCAAAAGTGGACTATTTTCACAAGACTTTGGTGATTTTCTTCATCTGCCCGCCGCAGTGTCTAATCCAAACACTGCATGGGAGTTCGATGTGGATATTTACACATTTTTATAGAATGCATTGTACATTTGTTAAAATTATGTTGAAAGATCAGCAAAGTGCAAACCTGATATGAGTTATGCATAATGTGACATGGTGCTAAATATAAGCTCCAGAAAAATTAACCAAACTTTTTCTCAAAAGTAGATTTATTGAATTCATACCATTATGAATAGGTAGAGGTATCTAAAGGCTCAGTCACATTTGCTCTATGACAGTGGTCTGGTGGCTGTTATACAGTTCTCAAAATCGATAAAGAAAACCTATATCATACTGCTTATCCCTATATTTCATGCTGCTAATTTCTCTCTGGGTTTTAGGAAGATACAGCCACTGTACAGTTGCCCAAGATCAAATGTGACTGAGGTAGTTCTCAATGATTTGAAATTGTACCTTAAGGATGGTCACAACTGTGGGCTCTGCTCTGAGTATAAGACTTGTACTCGGTTGTGTCCCTCCAGTGTGCTCTGTAGTCTTAGGCTTCTGACTCTCTGTAGTCCTGGAAACAGTAGTAAACATATAAAGTATATGTAGCAACTGATTGTGAAGTATATGTTGATAACTGCATTATTATGGAGTAAAGTATAAATGAAAAATGTCAGCACATGGCATTTGGTACAGATGCTGACCGCCGAACACCAACCGCCGAACACCAACCACAATAAAAGTTGGAGGGATGACAATATGTCACCATTTTTGGTGGTGATAATAATGCATATATTACATCCTTAATCTCATCTATGCAGAATCCACATGGAAAATACATTGAGGAATCTGTGTGGATTCTAGATTCTGCGTGAATTTATCTGAATGAATCATTCTATGTGATCTTTGAGGGATGGATTACACATGGATGTAAATTGACTGTGTATGTTGGTATAGTAAGAGTACTAATACTAAAAATAACTGTAAAACATATGTAATAAAAGCATGTACATGTATAGTAAATGTATAGTCATTAAATGCATTAAATAAATGGACATGCGAATTAAAAATATATATTAAAAGTATTTATTTTGTGAACAAATGTAACATACTAATGTCAATACCACATATATCGGGTGTCCAAAAATTTAGACACCATTTCACAAGTATTTTCTTGGCAACTGATAAACCAAATTTACTGAAAATTCATACAGAGTAGCCCAAGAGTATTGTTAGCAAGGTACAAAAATATGGAAAAGATCAGGTAAATGTTACGTGAGTACTAAGAAATCCAAGATAGCATCCCATACAGAAGCAACGCAACGAGAATTTCATCATATGAAATATCAATCAAGTTTTAAACAGATTCAACCAACACTTTTTGATAAATCATGAAATAAAGTCACTTTTTGAAGATCTTAATATGGAAGTCAATGGAAGTCTGTCCCAAGAAAAAATCTGTATAAAAGATGGCAGCACTGGTTTTCATTTACTTTTCAGTTTTTTAAAAACTATCTTATTTTGTATGAAACATGTGAGATTATGTAAAGTGCTCAGATTAGACAGGTTAATTTTCAAATATGACTGTTCACTGTTCAAATTGAGAGGTGTTCACATTTCAAGTTGTTTTCAACATGGGAGTCAATTGGAGGAAAAAATTGGGACTGAAAAAAGTGTTCAGATTGGGAGGTGTTCGGATTAGTCTAGTCAGGTGTTCAGATATACAGGTTCTACTGTATGTGCATGATAATTAAAATTTTATTTGGAATAAAAGCACATTTTTAACAGAAAGTCCTTCAAAATCAACTTTTTGAAATTAAATTGAAAAGCTTCACATAGCACATTTTGATAACATTGGGTAAGACTATAATCCAAAGTTGTTTAAATATATATGTATAATATATGCATGCATAGAAATGTTACAAATAGGTGATTCTATTTTTGAATTGAGAGGTAAATGATTTACTGTTTTCAAAATGTTAGTTAATTCAAAAACTGAAGTCGTTGCTACATGCTATATTGTAATAGTCATTCAATGCATTCAAAAATTGAATTCATTTATATGTTGTATACAAATTTCAGGTAAGTCATGATGACACAGCATTTAAATCTAACTGGTCCATTTACTCAAAGGATTACTTATGATTGAATACACTTTGCTCTTTATCAACAAGGGTAGCTTATTGAGGCCAAGGCAATCAAAAATAAAGTGAAGCAATCATTTAATATCGTAGTCAAGGTGACAAGGGGACAAAACACGTATTTTCGATTAAAATTTATAAAAATACTTTACATTTTAAATCCTTGTTATGTTATTAATATGATAAAATAACTTTGAATAACTGTACTACTGATTTGAAATTTAAAACAAAAAAAATAGGAGAAAAAAACAGACGATTTATTTACTTTGGCCTTGCCATACCATATATAAACTAAATATTATGTAATACACATATTTTCTTTGATAAGATTTAAATAATGCTTTCAATGCAGGTCAAACTGTTTGTTTAGTTATTTAGCAACACAATCTAAACAAACGAAGGAGTTTTCTGTTTTCATTACAAAACACGTAGAGAGTTCAGAGGTCCTGGCACATTGAAGCTAACCTCTCTAACGCATATACTCATCGTACAAGAGAAGAATCAATTCAGCGAGCAACATGGGTCCTAAACTACACGGAGACTTCCTTTCCCAGCCTTGTCGAGCACTGGCTTTAATGATGAAAGCAAATAATATCGCCTATGACTTTGTCTCAATACCTCTGCTACCATTTTCTGACAGTGAGTATTGAACATTACAATTACAGTTGGGGACATATATAAATGACAGGTGGATTTGCTGAAGTGAGGATTTCCCATGTTAAAAATAAGAGAATTTACAAGAGGCCATAAATCAGTGGATGAGATTATACAAAATGTAAAATATACAAATTTTAAGGGATATGTATCTAGACAATATTGGAAATTATGGGCTTTCAGACCACCATAATTAGGAAATGGTGATCGAAAATCGACCTGTCATTTATTTTTGTCCCCAACTGTATATTCATAAATAATTTAAAGACAACTAGTTTATTATTTATATTAGGTACAATTTGCAATGGACCAACAGTTAGGCTAAGTATATTTTTTGTCATCTTATAGCTTTTTATGTATATCATAATGAATGTAATTTATTTGAGCAATTTTATGATTATGATCATCAAAAGTTGATAAGATTAGTAATATTTTTCAAAATTCATGTGAAGATGAACATATAATACTGGCTGGGCAGTATCATATGGAAAAATAATTCATATATTACACACAAAGTTCTTTGAAATCTCGTTAAAGTTTTGTTTGATTTTGCATGAGATCTGCATTTTTAACAATTTCTTCTATTTGATGGCATATTTGAATTCTGTATGTAATTTTCTATCAAAACAACTTTGATTTGCACCATTATTTACCTTTATTCAAATAAAAAGATTTTTTAGTTGTCTAAAAAAGGTTGGGCTAAATCCCCATTGACACAATGTTAAAAAAACTTTAAAAGTTTATTTATTCTTATAAGGATATATATATCTTTTATTGACTCAATAACCATGTCATGTAAATGACATATCAGTCACTACAGTGTACAAAAAACTACAAACTACAACTACATACTACAAAACTACTTTACATCAGTTTCACATGTCAGGGTATGATATCAGTGTGGTGTATCCATAATACATGTGTTTTAAAAAAAAATGTTTACATAATATTAATCATTTTCCAAATTTTTAAAAGAGTGATATACAAATTTGGCTAAATGTAAGTTAACATGAGAGCTTTTACTAGACATAATAGTTTCAAACAGTTTATCTGGATCTTTGCACTGTTTCAGATCAGATTCTAAAGTTTCAAACAAAAGCTCTCTGTGTTTTAAGTTCTTTGTACAGCTTGTGATAAAGTGAAGCTCATCCTCAATTACCCCACATTCACTACACAACCTTTCACTTGTGGGTTTTGGCTTTGGTTTTGAGTACCGCCCAACTTCTATCTGTAATTTATGTGAACTCATCCTGAGCCTAGTTAATGCATGTCTATACTTTTTATTTTGAATGCTTAAATATAATTCTTTGGTGAAAGTATTTTTGAATTTTATATAAGTTCTAAGAACAGGAAAAGTAAGAATATCCTGTTTCCATTGAAGTGCATAATTACTTTTTAATTTCTTTGTGATCATTTGAATAAATATATAATCATCTTCAACATTTTGAGTCAACCAATGAGAGAATAAATCACATTGTTTTAATTGGAATGTGAAATCACAATCCATATGTCAATAAGATCATATAGTTACATTCCAATGGTGTTTTAAGTTGATCCATATGGAATTACTTGTGTTTTGCTGGTAAAATATGAATGTATTTTTCCATATGATACTCGTAACTGTAGTCTTTTGATCGCTTATTTTTTTAGGTTTTATTGGTGCACAACAAAATGAATATTATAACCAAAATGGAATATTTTAACCATTCAAAATTATTATTATGTAATATTCAATATTACCAATAAGAGACCTCCCACGTAGACTTAAGCAATGGCTAGAACTGCCAATAACAAATAAATAATAAACCATAGCTATAAATACATGTACCATCAAATGTAATGAGAGTCAAAGTTAACAAGGGAGTGAGAGAGGGTAAATTCTACAGATACTGGTATTCAGATTTATGCACTATACTGGGTGTAGGCTATGAACCTGATCAACTTAAACAAATATGCATACAATGTTGGATGTCACATACCACTGAGTTTAAGATTTTATCAAAGCACCTTAAGGTAAAGGCTGCCAGATATGAATGTAAATATTATCATATGTCATATAACATAATCAGATACAATAAAGAACAACATAGGTTTGTGTTTGGAGCAGTAGAATTTAATTATATAACATTATATGATATTATGTCACATTAAGTTATTACTTCATCAGTACATGGTATAAGAATTTCTTTGACAGTGATATCTAGCAATAGATTTATAGTATACATGTAAGACTTACATTCATATTTTAGTTCTGGACAGAACTGTCCCTTGAGTTTCTTAAACACTTTTACTTAATAAAATCAAATTTAATTCAATTAAAATTGTTTTTATTCTACCATGTCAAATGTGAAATTTTTTTTTATTTATCATTGGTAAATATAATCATGAAAATTACATTGAAAATCTTCGCATGTATGTTGTAACTTTAAAATCTGGCTTAACAGTAAGCCTTAATTTCAAACCTGAATAAAAATGGATTACAATAATATCATTAAATCTTAATATCTTTAAATATGAACTGAATCTTGTACTTCTCTTTTTAATAGTTTGATTTCATTCATAATCCTTAGTTGAAAGTTATGATCATTAATTCTAGCCTTAACCAAATCAAAATTTCATTTACAGAATTTCATGCTTTTATAAGCAGCTGGCATTTCATAACAATCATGAATCTTCATAACAATCATGAATCTTCACAACAATCATGAATCTTCATAACAATCATGAATCTTCATAACAATCATGAATCTTCATAACAATCACGAATCTTCATAACAATAACGAATCTTCATAACAATCATGAATCTTCAAAACAATCACGAATCTTCATAACAATCATGAATCTTCATAACAATCATGAATCTTCATAACAATCATGAATCTTGATAACAATCATGAATCTTCATAACAATCATGAATCTTCATAACAATCATGAATCTTCATAACAAACATGAATCTTCATAACAATCATGAATCTTCAGAACAATCATGAATCTTCATAACAATCATGAATCTTCATAACAATCATGAATCTTCATAACAATCATGAATCTTCATAACAATCATGAATCTTCATAACAATCATGAATCTTCATAACAATCATGAAACAATTTGTACAAGTAATGGCAAATATCACTGTTTCATTTTCACCAACTAATCGTTTCAATGTTGATCACATGATTGTGATAATGTTCGACATTTTACAAATAGGGAGAAAGTTTAAGACTGAGCCTGCAAAAAATACTTGTTAAAATTGAAAACTCTACATAGCATAGAATGGTCAGAGAATTCATTTATTAATTAAGGTTCCCCAAATATATCAAAGCGCTACTCATTAAATGAATAATGTTAAGTAAAAATGTGTTTTCAGGAAGCTGTCAACCAGAGGGGAATGCCGCAGCTGTTAATCCATTTAAATGGGTACCTACTCTCGAAGTTGAAGGCGATGGATGCATCTGGGAGAGGTAGTATATTTAAATTTTTACCATATGCAAGAGCTCAACCTATATACAATATTTAAATCAGATATAATTTAGATCTAGTCTACTAGTGTATACATATCCAAGTAAGAAATCAGAAATCCAGACACAAATATTTTCTGTTAAGTTACTCGTTTTTGTCAGAGTGGGTACGTTTACATGTACTTTGTGCAAAACTTTTTGAACAACCCTTGTACATTATTGTAGTTTATCTTTGAATTATGCTAGTTTTGTTCTGAAAATATTCGACCTTAAGATATTGGAAGGTGGGGTTTTTAACTATACCCTAAGTCAATTGGACTAAGGATGAAATTTTCACTGCATTTATAAAAAAATATGGTTGTTTTGAAATGAGACATATATTTTTTAAGAAACAAGTTTACACAATAAGCCAATGCCTCGATGGAAAAACCCCAAAATATGATTTTCGTATTTTCAACTGGTGCATTCTAACCAATCAACCATCCATTATTATCCTCTAGCTCGGCCGCTTTGCAATACCTGGCTGAGATGGATGGTGTACCTGAACACTGGTACCCCAGAAGTGGGAGGGGAAGAATCATGGTGAACACATACTTAGCCTCTCATGGAACAGACACAAGAAAACATGCAACAGGGTTCTTTATCAGGAAGGTAAGTTTGAAATTAACAAGTAGTTGATTAGATATTGATATAGAATATAGAAATAAAATAAACTTAATATGCAGCAGGCTACTTTAACAGGAGTGTAAGTTTGATACAACTTAATGATTCAACAATTTAATAATATGAAATAAAAGTAAGTATGAAAAAAGTTTGATACAACTCACGTAGTTGATTAGTAATGGATAAAAATTAAGGAAAAAACTAAACTTGTTCTAGATTCAGCTTCCATTGCATGATTCTGATTCAGTTAAGACTGTAGTATTAATGATTATCCATATGCAATCAAACATGAACTGTACAGAACTGAACTGAACTGAAACATTTAAAATGTACCTATAATAAAAAGGAATACTTCATCAAATTAATTTTTGATTAAACTATATTTTTTGTTTTTTGTTTTACAGTTTGCTGGGCCAGCATTCTTCAAGATGACTTTCACAGAGGACCAGGTTAAGGAAATGTGTGATGGATTTGAGAAACTGCTTGACAAACTGGAGACAATCTGGTTGAAGGATACGCCCTTTATCGCAGGAAATGACATCTCAATTGCTGATATACACCTCATCACAGAACTTTCTCAGGTTGGAACAAGTGGCTATGACATGGTCAAGAACAGACCTAAGTTGGCGGCTTGGATGAACAGCACCAAGGAAAAACTTCAGCCACATTTTGATGAAATATGCAGCAAACCTCTGGCTAGTTTCGCGGACGGATTGAAGGCTTTCAAGGAATCAAAATAACATTAATCTTCTACGCATATGTTTTCCCCCTCACTAGACGCAAAGATAATACTTGTACTGTATCATAAAAAGATGAAAATAAATATTTCAAAAAACAAAATTGTAATACACTTATATTTGTAGAAAAAGAAGAGAGTGAACATGGTCTTAGAGACATAATTTTTCAACCTATTGATCTATTCTGACTTACCTGCGTTTAACGAGTCTCTCCAGGGCAACTTCTGTTATGAGATTCTGTTTATTACACAGTTCTTTCAAAAGCATTTGAAGGTTGTCACAACTGCAATACAAAATATTTGAAAATACTTAAAGACTAAGTAGTAATTATGACAAGTTCGAAAATTAAAAAAAATTACATCTTGGTAGATTTTAAAAGGCTTTTCATATGAAAATGAAATAAATTTTGTCATTTGGAGCTTGTGTCATGTAAAATCATGTTCAGTACCTTGAAAAATGTGAAAGCTGCCCATTTCACTCCCCCCAGTTTTCTGCAAGTTAAAATGCTCAATTCTGCAAGTGAAATTAGTGAATTCTGCAAGAAGAAAGGGCTTATTCTGCAGAAATTCCGCGGATATTCGCGGCATTTTTTTGCGGTTATTATAAAAAAAATCAAGATTGGTTTAACAAAAACAGTATCATATATTCTAAAAACATGATTTGATAATCATATTCCTACATGTTAAACCCTGCCACAAACAAATTTGACCACTGAAAGTTCCATTTCCATGAAAATGCTGTAATTAATCAAATTTCACATTTTTCGAAACTTCAAACACGGAGGATCGGGCACATAATGGGAATCACGATATATGTAAATCAGGTTTTAAGTGTAATATCTCATTGGAGTTCGAAGTTTTCGATCAATAACTTAATAATATAAATAACTGTTATTAATTTATGTCTTTGTTTAACTTTCTGACGAGAACCGAAAGAAAAACTAATGGTTTTCGAACCAGTAAACGGGAAAATATCGTGATAGTCAGGTAGTCAGTCTCAGTCACTACATACATGCTGCCATCTAACGGCAGAAATCAAACGATGGCGTTTAGAATTTTCACTTCGCATAATTTGGGTTATTTCTGCAAGGGATTTGACTGAAAACGTGTCAAATTGTTACAGGTAAGACTGACTTTTTAAACTTTTGGAAAATATATGGATTCTGCGGAAAATTCCGCGGAAATTGACCAAAATAGTTGATTCTGCAATTCCGCGGGCAGAGGCAAATTCCGTCCGCGCTCTGCAAACACGGAATCCTGGGGGCAGTGCCATTTGAGTTTTCAACATGAACAATTTTTTCAAGCTTCAATTATTTCAGAAAATAAAGTTTATGTCAAAGTCTATTGAATGTGAACATTTTATATCATTACAAATCAAAATTATCTGAGGGGTTTTTAGGATGAGATACAGCTTTTTTGCCCTTCATATATATGTCTTTAGTACTACTGTTACCAAAATTTTATTCAAATATATTACAGTCTTTTTGTTTCTACAAAATTCGGTGGCTGTAAATCATGTGGATGCGGGCATTTTTCAGAATCTTAATTGGATCACAGTGGCATTTTCTTCTAACATTATCTGAACTTACTTGCACTTTGTATCTGTTAAGTCTAGCAGAGATGTATAGCGTAATAACATATCAATCCCCGCCTCCAAGGTTGAGTTGTCATGGTTACCAACCCGTTGTAACTTTAGGAAGATATTTGGAAGCTGGAAGTTGAAAATATGAATCAAGAAAAACATGATAGGAATACATATCTAATTATTACCAAAATTCCAAAGGGATAGAAATGTCCGCTGTGTTTCCTCTGGTGTGTTCGATTGTTAACATCAGCTGCCTCTAGTCAGATCGACTGACAAAACAACCTTTTTTGGGGTTGTCGAGTTTGCTGAGAGGGCTTGAGCACCGGCACGTTCAAGCTAGGCGATAGGGCGTTGTTACCACGAGGTTGCGAGTTCGAGACGCGTGTGCTCCTTGTGTTTATTCATATAGTGCATACTTAAGCTTAAAACATCCTCTTTTCACAGATTTTTTCATTTGATTTTAGCATGTTTTAAATTCATATCAAAGTGGCTCTTTCTGATCACAAAATACACCAAAGTTAAACACCTCTATGCTACTCCTTCAAATGAAATAAATGTTGCCATTTGGAGTTTGTGTCATGTAAAATCATGTTCAGTACCTTGAGGAATGTGAAAGCTGCCCATTTGAGTTCTTCCTGCCCCTGAACATGGTTAGCATCAAGTAGTCCCATAAAACACGAGCGGAGGATCTCACAATATAATTGAGGCCTTGATAAATCCTGGAAGTAAAATATGAATACAATATTAGCCAGGTGTATTTAAATAAACAGTTTCCAAAGACTAAGATACAAATGAAACAAGAACTTTTCAGGTATCTTGGACTGCAAATCAATTTTTTACTGAATTGCTTGCTTAGTTCATTTAATGAAGAGAATAACAAGTAGAACATTTGTTGTTTAAAGACCCGTGTGTCCCCAGTAAAACCTCCATATTACTCCCCCCTCCCCCTATATAAACAAGGGTGGGAGGCAAAGTAATGCAACAAGTATGTTGATACATGTACTTACATGTAATTTCTCAATTAAAAGCATTTGTTGTATAAAAGCCTGTGTGTCGCCAGTTGTATTCAGCAAGACCTCCAACATGACTTGTGTATTAATGCTGATATTCAGAATCATGTGATCAACATTGACCAATCCCTTACTCACATTTGCACCCGAGATGGAGATTCTGTAAAAAACAAGACACAGAGTGAACAATATTGTACTTAAAATAGCCACCTTCAAATCCATCAATCACTTCAATGAACACTTTAATCCATTAATCAATTTGTATTGACCACGACTGACTACTCACTGCCATCTTTCTTTAACTTAGTCCCTATGGTTACCGTAAGTTAACCAGCTTCGATTTAATGCATGCTCAATGTGATTCACCATTACAATATGTTTAAGAACTCAGTCAGGTTATGAAAGATTCCAGGCACTGTTTATATCATGTGTAGGTCTTATTCTTATAATGTCCATACCTGGTTAACAAGTTCAGGCTGAAATCTACATGGTCTCTCAGATTGGAAGGTATATGTGCAGATTGCAGTTTGCCCAATGTACCTCTAGCATTCGACTCTGTTTGTTCAATTTGGCGGTACGTCTCTGAAAAGAAGCAATGAAGAACATGAGCTTGAGAGGACTGAGGGGAAGAAAAGAGAAAGGATCAGAGAGGGATCAGCCTTTTGTATGAGGATATATTTATTTATTTATTTATTTTATTCACCTTTATAATGGTGGCACACCTCAATGGGTGCTATACAAGTATAAAACATATTAAAATCAATCTTTCAATTTAATATATACTTTCTATATATGTTGCTATATATATATGTTACTCTATTGTACCAACTATTCAAATACTGCAATAACGTATTATCTGGACAATAGATAAACAATCGTAAAAACATGTTTAAAGGTCCAATGTATAGTTTAACCCTTTCACGACGATGGGCTCCATATGGAGCCCTATTATGTAATACCTTTCACGACGATAGGCTCCTTTTGGCACCATAATTTTTATTTATATACATCGATGAAATGATAATATCTCCAGTTCTATTCAGTATTTTTACACCAAATTTTGACAAGTTGTTCTAATACGATAGTCCTCACTAAAAAATGTATTTCAGTGATAAAATTCAAGGTATAGGTCCCTGGGCATAGGTAATTTTCAGTTTCCCCCTAAAAACTGCTCTTACTTATCCGTCAACAGGGCCAACATTTTCCTCTTATATTCCCGTCGGGAAAGGGTTAAACAAGTATCACTAGTATTTTTGGGTAGTTCAATTAATTTATGTTAAAACATCCTCCAAATGCAGGAAAGAACATGGTGGATGATGTCTGGAGCCTTGCATTCAGAGAATGATGTTAAACCAACAATTCCTGAGCTCAACTAGGAAGTTTCTTTTTACGCTTCATGCCACTTGTACTGCTGGTACATACCTGGATCATCTAACTTTGCTATGTATAACATTGCCTTGTTCGTTGGACTCTCAATCAAGTCCTTCATTATACTACAGGCCTTTTCAATGATTGCACAATGTTCCGGGGAATGTTTCACTACATTCAACTTCTGTAGGCTCTTGTGAATGAGATGCAATAGCCATTGCAGAAGATGCAACAGCGTCTTAGCCAGGGATAACGGGTCTTCTGTGTTTCCATAGCAACTAGAAAAACAAGTAAATAACAACACACTCATATAATATATCAGGTCTACATTGTCATTCTGAATATTTTACTATTAAAATTGAGACATTATGACAAGATTTTTAAATGACTGTCTGACTAAGAACACACAATGGCTCCCCATAAGTGTATTAAACAAAATCTAATCAGGTCTTCAGAAATGTAAGTTCACCTTTCAACACAGGTATTTCAGAGACTGTTGGATTTGGATCAAATGAAGTAACAAAGCCTAATTAAGCAAAGGGATATCCCAGAAGTCCACTGACTTTACTCTCTTACTCTGATTGGTCAATACAGGTTGTCAGGTGTTAAATAGGCCTCACCTGAGTCTGGGTGTGAAACAATGAACCAGATTTAGTAAACTCTTCAAGCAATGAGGCATTCCAACATCATCATATTTCATAACACTTTTCAGACCTTTTGAGATGGTAACCACCTGGAAGTTAAAAAGAGTACAATCACGCAAATGAATTCATATTAAGACATCAAAGGTAAATTCCACAAAATATTGGTATGTAGTTTTTATATTTAAGTGAGTTCAGAACAATAACTGTGCGAATTTTCCATTTTCATTTCAACACATGTGTGATTACAGTAGAACCGGTGTAAGTGAAAAGCCCTTGAAACCATTAAGACCACCTGTGAGGTGTTCCATTTACAGAGATTCATAAACATGGTGTCAATGGGCCACATGACTTTTAAAAACCTGTTCCACTTAAGAGGTGTTCCACTTAGCCGTTTCTACTGTACTTCATTTCATGCTAATTCCACTCTTTTTCCACACTAGTTAACATTTCAAAACGTGACCAATCTGACAATTCGTTTGTTACTCACTTGTGTACTGAGGCAGTGTTTAAGGTAAGATAGCACTAAGTTATTAGGACTGGAACCAATCAATGCTTGCTGGAGAATAAGCTCTGAAATATATCAAAAGATGAATATAAAATTTTAGTAATATAATTTATACAGAGAAAAGATAGGATTTGAACTATAGTAAGGTTTGTTTTTCAAATGCCTAATATATCAACATTTTTTCACTTCAAGGGTTATATTATATTAGAAACAGCATTGGGTGGTATATCATTAAAAAATCCATTTAAATTAAAGGAAATAACAGGGTAAGAAAAAAGTAAGGCCTTTCTAAAAACAAAGTAATTCACCAACAAACCTGCAAGGGATTGTGACGTTTCTGTAGGGTTACTGCTAAATGGTGCAGTTTTCTTCAACGCTATAGAAAACTGGAGATCTGTCCATCTTTCCCTCCAAGCTTTCAACAGCACCGACTTCACAGTCATTGCTTTTTGTATCACCATTTTCTGAAATTAAAAAATATGACTATCGTATTATCTTTTATAGGTGCACATATTCTAATGAACGCACATCCGACTTTTCCATGAAAGACTCTGGCAACTTGAGTAACAAAAACAAGCATACATTCCTTTATATACTTGAAGTATGAATATAAAAACTATTTCTCTGACTATGAAGACCAGTCTGTAAAAAAAGACTTTAGATTTTGATTGGGGTATCACTGTCAATTTCAATATTGACACATACTAACCCATGAAAATACATTCAGCCGATCAATGTCATTCGTGTGATATATGAATATATTTTTCTATATATTATGGCAAAATGGTCTATAGATTTCTTATTTTTCAGGTTCAACTGCTTGCCTTTGAAGCAGTGTAACAGACTGTAGGGGAAATGGTCCTAATTATCGCACGGTCCTAATTATCGCTTGACTGTCCTAAATAGCTAAAATATGCACCCACCATCTTTTAAACCAGTGTTACGAAAAACAGTTCAACACAATTACTCCCAATCTTCATGATTTATTCATATATTTAGAAATATCTCTTCATTTTTTTAGAATTTTTTACTTCCGCTATTGTCATAAATGCTATTGCGCGAGAAGTGAAATTCGTCTGACAAAGTTTGACCCCCCCTCCAAATAACGACAGAAAAGTAAGTGTATAATGTATATTTTGTTAATATTTTACACTAAAGCTGATAGAAAAAACTGACAGAAAAATGATTATAGCATAAGCATGTATCTGTTTTAAAGCGGCTCTAAGGTCTGTGGAGAGAAAAATGGAGAAATTTTACCTTTTCTGAGCTATCGGAGTGAAGTTTGGTCCAACATCTTCTTCCTTATTCCTATTTTATAAAAATGTATGCATATGGCAATATTCATCAACCAGTAGAACTGGCAAATCGTTTAGAATCTACAATTCCATACAAGGAGTCCCACTCATAGATTTTTCAAATTCTTTCCAAGTCGACGTCGAAACACCTAGCGGGTGAAATTGAAACTAATTTTTCTGGCTGCTCGAAACAATAAAATCTCTGATAGTGTGAGTCTTTTTATGAAATCTTTCTGATAGAAAACACTTAATTAATATTAGAAAGCATTAAATGTTGAATCCGAAGCGTAATCTGAAATAAAAGTGAAAAAACATTGCGCGGACGTCAGAGAACAAACTTCCGTTTTAATAAATAATGGCGGACGTCGAAGGAGAAATTATGACGAAGAATTAGAGGATTTTCCGTTGCCATTATCGATCGTTATAAGGTATGTGCACTTATTCTAGTTGCATACATGGAAAATAGATACATTTTTAAAGGCAACAACATATTCAAAGCTTTCATTTTACGATAGGCCCAGGATCATTGGATACGACTCGGCAATCGATATTCCCACTTTAAACAGAGAAATATATGCAGTATCGTGAAATGGCATCTGAAACACAACTGTGCGATAATTAGGACCACCACACATGCGAGTCTTAGGGGTCTTAAAGTGTTAGTGTTCGGAGATTGAGACATGTCAAACACTACTTAAATTTAAGAAAAAGGTTGATCTTTCATCTCATATTCTCAAAGTAAGTTGAAGTTATCATATTTGAAATCGTCAGTAGTTTTCCAGAGTACCTGTGTGGTGATAGGACTTCCCCAACCTATTTGTGTAAAAAAAACAGTTGACCGGGTAACTGGGTGACCGGGTACCCAATATTCCTAGCAGGGTTAGGAGTTTTTTTCATTTTATGCTCAAAAATGTGCCACTGAACAATCCAAGCAACCAACCACCCAACTGGCCTCCAACTCAAATTATTTTTGAATAGTCTAGATCTATTTCTCAAACAGGCTGGATAGTATTTATCAGTTTGGAGAGACAAATGGTCTCAATCAATATTTCAGATAATAATCATATACAACTAGAATGATTTAGTTTATAATTGAGATCAATGAAATCTAAATAAGATGTAGAATTACACTCTGAAACTGTAATAATATAGAAAAGAACTTACTGGTAGCAGACCGGAAGTCAATTACAATAATTTTGACTAGAGTAAACAACTTTGGTACATTTATTAAGTATGTTTAAAATATATTGGCGATACTTGTGATCGTCTCATGTCAAGAAAATTCACATAAATTGGCAATTTATCCATTTTATAAGACGATAACCATAAACTTGTCTAGTGTATTGTTAAACCAAAATTAATTCTTTCTGAGTTTAATATTGGGTCATGTGACTGATAAGTTCAGTTTCATTAATTTTGAAATAGCCCCTTTATTTGGAAAAATTTTGCATGTTCATCTTGGTACTTGGTACATTTTCACATGTGCTAGTGAATAAACAATGTACATATTCATATTATTGTTATTGTGTTTCTTGTGTATACCACCATGGGCTCTATCAAACATTTAGGTCTATAATATTCATTTGAGACTATGAGCTATTTCCATACTTATCACATGCTCAAAATTTTATCCAGCTTTTCTGGACGTTAATACCCCAGCCGAGAAATTATAAAATATTTGGATGCCAAGTGGGAACAGTAAACTCCCAACATGCCCATTAGTTGAGGGGTGCTTGGAAAAATTAATATTGTAAGGTGCTGCCACCTTAAAATGACAAACTGAACTAACAAGAAGGGGTGATTGCAATAAGATTTATGATCCATGGATTTGGGGCACATGCACCATACTAGTATCAAAACTAAGCTGATTTAATTATGCAACAGACTAATAGCAACATGGAGCACCATAAGATGTGTCATATATAAACATGCTGTGCACCATACTGGTTTGAAGTTATAACATTTAATTGATGGAGGTTAAAATTGGTGAATATTAAGGAATTTACAGGATACCACTCAGTACAAATGTAGTTTTCTTGAAGGTCATAAAAGTGTCGCAAAACAAGATACACAGTGATAAACATTGCACCAAGTTTTTATGAAAAAATTCAAGTGAAAATAAGACTGCGCATCCCGATAGGTGTCAAGATTTATCTAGACTCCATTTACCAAGCAAAGGTAAGCAGTTTTACTGGAATTTGATGACAATATTGCCCGCCCTTGAGTTCAGCAGAACAATACAACAGAAATATAGCACCTTGAGAAAGTGCGATAAAATATGAAAAATTCCATGTCTCTTCCATCTTGTATTTATTTATTCAATATTTTCAAACATAAATTGTACATTAATAGATTTAGTTTTAAGTATTTTATTTTTGATTCAATTCCCATTCAATTCAATTTATTCCATAGTTTTTTGGAATATAATATACACTATACTGTCATGTCACATGACAGAAATAATCCATATTTTCATAATTTTAGAGTGAAAAAGACAATATTACGCAATAATTTTATCTGTATTGAATTGTGAAAATGAGACACCCACTTGAGGAAAAATTCCTGTGGAGAACACTGCACAAAGTTACAGGCCTAGGTTTTACTCCACATTGTCACATTAGGTTGTACATTATCTGAATAGATACATCAAAACATTTTTTTTCATTTCTCTGATTTGGAGAAATCAATGTTATTTGACATCCTAAATATTAATATAATCATGTTTACATACATTGTGTATATCTAATTAAATGAAAATGAATTTATAACATAGTACTAAGTCCATTTCATTAACCATACATTATTTTACAGTCTATGGCACAGGCTTTAAAATGGTATCAATTTGAAGTTATCAAATACATTGTACATTTTCAATAGCCAAATACCTAGTTGATTCATTGGAGCTGTAAAGTACAATGCACATTGAATATTCATTGTGCATTAATTTGCTATATACCATAATGCATATTAAATATATAATTTAGCAAGAGATATTCATTGTGCATTAATTTGCTATATACCAAAATGCATATTGAATATATAATTTAGCAAGAAATATTCATTGTGCATTAATTTGCTATATACCACAATGCATATTGAATATATAATTTAGCAAGAGATATTCATTGTGCATTAATTTGCTATATACCACAATGCATATTGAATATATAATTTAGCAAGAGATATTCATTGTGCATTAATTTGTTTTATTATATCATTGCTAGAAATTGTGTGATTTGATTGGTCGAGTCAGTACCATGTGATCAAAAATACCATAAAGTATTTCACAGCTCCCTCAATTTTAGGATAATAAAAGACGTATTGCCCGGCGTATTGCCCGCCCGGGAATTCTGACAACTACACTGGACGAAAATAAAGTGTACCATTCAATGATACTTGTACGTAATTATGTTCACTTATGGATTAATGATATATTAATTGATTAAAATAAATGATCATAGGGAATGTCTAGCAATGATATAATAAAACAAATATTTCATTCTATGTTCGGGCAATACCTGTTGCACTTTCAATGATTTTTGCATCATGTATTTCCCTCGCCCTACGGGCTGCGGGCAATACATACCGCAAAAATCATTGAAAGATGAACAGGTATTGCCCTCCATAGAATGAAATATTTGCTTAATATACCACAATGCATATTGAATATATAATTTAGCAAGAAATATTCACTAGGGATTTACTTGCTTAATATATTCCACAATGCCATGAATGCAGACTGAATAAATAATTTAGTAAGAAATATTCATTGCGCATATATACCGACAATGCACACTGAAAATATTCATTGTGCATTAATTTGCTATATACCACAATGCATATTGAATATATAATTCACATTGAAACATTCACTAGGGATTTACTTGCTTAATATATTCCACAATGACATGAATGCAGACTGAATAAATAATTTAGCGAGAAATATTCATTTTGCATATATACCGACAATGCACACTGAATATATAATTTAGCATAAAATATTCATTGTGCATTAATTTGCTATATACCACAATGCATATTGAATATATAATTTAGCAAGAAATATTCATTGTGCATTAATTTGCTATATACCACAATGCATATTGAATATATAATTTAATGAGAAATATTCATTGTGCATTAATTTGCTATATACCACAATGCATATTGAATATAGAATTTAGCAAGAAATACTCATTGTGCATATATGCCGACAATGCACACTGAAAATATTCATTGTGCATTAATTTGCTATATACCACAATGCATATTGAATATAGAATTTAGCAAGAAATATTCATTGTGCATATATGCCGACAATGCACACTGAAAATATTCATTGTGCATTAATTTGCTATATACCACAATGCATATTGAATATAGAATTTAGCAAGAAATATTCATTGTGCATATATGCCGACAATGCACACTGAAAATATTCATTGTGCATTAATTTGCTATATATCACAATGCATATTGAATATATAATTAGCACAGAAATATTCATTGTTCCTGTGACCTTTACTATTATCAATATGATCTCACTTATGTTGACCTTGACCTTCCTAGTGACCCTCACCATTTAATCTCAATAGTTCTGACCTTGACCCACTTGGGTTCTTCATATGCACAGTACATGCCTATAGTCATCATAGTCATAAAGCTGGGGCAATTTTGAAGCCAACAATATAGACAAAATTCTTATCTTATTGACCATATTCTGAAAAAGCTATTTTAAGTAACATACTAAGATTAAATATTTAGCGGAGTCAGATGTCCAAATATAACCCCTTTTTTGTTCAGCTTTTTCAGGAAAGCAACAGACTTGGCACATTTGTAGAAACATATGATTTGAGTGGAAAATGATTTCAGGGCAAGTGATTTGGGTTGGTCTTCTATTTTAAGTAACATACTAAGATTAAATATTTAATTGGCTGCCCTTCTATATGAACATCTTGTTCATTACATTTTGTACAACTAATAATAAAAACAAAGAATAAATTAATTAAAAGTTGAGAAAATTGTCATGGTTCATGTGCTCGTGAGATTATGAAATTGTAAATGATTTCAAGAATCTAAAAAGTCTAATAAAAATGAAGGACGGTTCTATAACCCCATTCAAGGCAAAAATATGAACCAAATAAAATATAAAAAGGAATGAAACATTTGAAACGTATACAAAAGAGTAAGAGAAGTGTAAAATTTGTAAAATTTTCCTCCATCCTTGGTTACATATACTTATTACCAATCATACCATATTGCAAAATTGGCGTAATACATAATCTATAACAATACTGGTTATAACATATTTTAAGACTATTATGATAGATGGCATTTACAAATAAAACATTATTGGATTTAAACATGTGGTATTTTCAACCATCATATAATAACAATATGTCCTGAAAAAGTCACCTCGCAATGACACTATCTAAATAGATGATATATTGATTCTAATAATTTGGTTAAGGTTTAAATTGGTAGTAGATAAAATGCATTCTAAATTAAAGATGTAGGTATAGCAAAGTAAACCCTTTTTGGTGAAGAACTCAAGGCCCATAGCTAGGGGGTTCAGAAAGTTAGAGAGCGCAATTCTTTCAAAATCAGGGAGTTTTTCACCATTCTGAGCACTTTTCAAGTGGTTTTGGGCCAAAGTTGTCAATTGTAAACCCCCCTGAAGTTTTGAATTTTTGATGGGCCTGACTCCTCTTGCAAAAGTATATTTAACAATAACGTTCAGGCAAAAAAGATGACATGTTATAAATATAAATAGGAATGTGATCTTGAATTACAGAAGTGTCAAATGACAATATGACATCATTAGTCTCCTAAAATAACATATCAATCTGCCACTATCATGGCGTTACCCTTACACTAGCCTAACCCTCAACTCAAGTACAATACAACCTCTAGATACAAAAAATGGCTTGTACGAGCGTATGAAGCCTTCTAAGGAGAACAACTTTAAATTAGTGCCAATGTTGATATATTAAATGAGGTTTCACTGTCTTGAAACTAGTCTTTCATCACTATATGCGACACTCCTCAATCATTTCTCTTAAATGCAAGGACAGGATGGAAGCATAAATTGTATATAATGGGGACTAGAAAAGTGATGCGATACTACATGTATCTTTAAATAAATATAAATGGTTTCTAAATATACTCACAATTTCTATATAAAGAAGTAAGATTACTTCACCATATATATAATCTTTTTTGTATCAAATGATGATAGTATGACGTCAGCTGTAGCGATCCCTCGTAAAAATGATATCATATTCGTTATCGATATTTTGCTATAATTAGCCTAGTTCTCTGCCACCTAGTATATGTTTCCACAAATTTCAAAGGTTACTGATATTTATCTACGGAGTAGAATTTAATTCAAAAACAAATTCATTGCATTTTAATATTCAATACAATAACTCTCAGATTATGCAGATTAAATGGCATTTCTCTATAATTTAAATAAACTGGCCAATTTTTGGGATTTCTATACAATTTAGAGTGAAAATATGATTGCAATAATTCTATTCCTTGCTCATTTCTTTTTCCTCTCTACTTTTCATGGTTAAACATATACATTTCTCTATTGGGGTCAAGATACTGAGATTAGAACGGGAAAAGTGATTCAATCATTTGAATTCAATAGAATTTGATAGATTTAGGTACATTAAGTATGTAGTCAACACTCTAAATATGCAAAATGGGTCAGTTTCTTCAAATCTAATGGTCATGGTTTAATGTTTAAAATGAAAAAGAGGTAAAGATTCGACTCAACGAAGAAATATTCAGGGGGTGTAGTAGAAATTATACATTGTATAAAATGGCAGAAAACAAGTTCGTTCATTCAAAACTTAAAGAGAAATATTGGGAGACAGGCCTGACTAAAAGAAAAAAACAGTAAAACCTGTAAAAATGTAACACCTTTTGTACCTCTAAAAGTGTTCCACTTGGGAGATGTTCCACTGAAAGGTTTTGCTGTACTTCTACTATTACAACCTACATGGTGTGATATAAATATATCCAAAAGAATATTTTACATGATTCATTGATAATAGGAGAGTGATATTTATATAATAACATAAAATTATGCCATTATAATATGTTTAAGCCCATCACAGTGTAAAATAGTTTACTCAGCTTATTAGGAATATTAAAGAGGCAAGAAAGTATAAAGACAAGTTGACAATATAAATATTGAAACATTGTCACATCTTTGCATATAATGTTTGCTCAACAATTAATGCAATACATATTTTCAAAATGCTGAGACCAATATACAGTAAAACCTGTCTAAGTGGAACATTTTTGGTACTGTCAAAAAGTGTTCCACTTATAGAGGTTCAATCAACATTAAGTCAGATGGTCTTGGGACTCTTAAGTGTTCCACTAACAGAGGTGTTCCACTTATAATAGAGGTTCACCACAGTGGTTGGATTATATTGCACAATTAGTTATTTCACAGTCTAAATATTGCAAATTACAGCTGATATTGCACATTTATAGCTGATATTGCACATTTACAGCTGATATTGCAAATTACAGCTGATATTGCACATTTATAGCTCATACAATAAGCATGCCAAAAGACACTGTTAAATATTCATAAATATACCAAACAGTTATACAAAAACTGGTACTAAATATATATACAGATAATATACATGTCATGTAAATACAATTTGGAATAGAGTATAACACGAGAAGTATCCATGACCCATAATGCCTTGCTAATACTGTGACCTGCTCACACTACATAATAAATTTGGAACCTATCTACATACCAATAAAAATTTCATAACATTCTTATGATGAGACTCCTCACAATTCCAAGACATGATACCAAGAATAATTCATGGTATGATCAGGGCATGGATACTACTCGCGAGTTTGAATAAATGGAATGCCCAGATAAGCTCAACAAGGCATTAACATGCTAAATGTCACCACCTGCCATTTGTTACTTTGTTACAGACGCCAAACTCCAAACACCATCTGCCACCACAAAAAATGGAGACTATAATATGCATATGAGACCAGTGGGCTACCATAGTCTAATCTATCTGAACCATTGTCTGATGGAATGAACGAGACCTGCCAGAATCTTCAATGACAATTGGATGCAATCAGTTACTAGAGATTTTTAAGTATCCAAAAAAGAATACATAAAGGTTCTTATATGAGAACCTGTGCAAGATCGTCCATTCTTGATGAGCTTTGATAATTCTTCTTTATCGAGTCGCAGATGAGATAAAGAAACATTATCAAAGCGAGATAATGAACGATGGTGATATCTTTCAAGATGGCTGTATCTTGGCTAGTCATATGACTCATGATATGAGAAAATGTCTTCTACCTTCAAAAAACTCTTTATTATTACATCATAAGCAGATAATCATCAGTATTTGAAGAGGAGCTGAGGAATTACCACATATTGGAGTAATGCCATAAAATACTGCGAAACAGAGAAACAATGGGATGTATTACTCAGCGAGGATTTTAGATTGATTAATGTTTTATAAATCCAAGCGTTATCTAGAAATTGGAGGTGTCATATTCATGCTAATATGAAATGTTTTGTACTGATTGCACTGCATTGCTTTGTATCATATTAAATATCAAATGAACCTATAGATATACTATATTCTTTAGTTCATTAGTGGTAAGAAAAAGCTTTTATATCAATATATGTTTCACGTAATAGTTTAAACAACAGTTTAGTCCTATGTTAGTAAAACATTGTAGGAAAGAAGTTATTGAAGAATCAATGGGAAGTAATGCGGCGAAATTCATTTACATTTTATAAAGAAAATGAATACAAACATGAATATTTTGAATTCCATTATATGGATGTCGCCCTATGGCCAATAAATCAAGATTCTGAATTGTGATCTACTTTTGATTTTCAGTTTGAGACTCATCTTCATTACTTAGTTTATATCCACCATCAAACGCTTCATTCACAAATGCAAGTTTTCCAGACACATCAGGTGTCATTGGTTCATCTTCATCTGATTCACCTTCTAAGGGGTCTTCATTATCCATATGCAAATGGGCCCCTTCTACAATACAATACCTAAACCTAGCTTTGGAAAAGTTGACACTGTCAACAGCATATAAATTCTTGATGTTGCTGTACGAGAAATCAGATTCAGCGAAGTCAGAACACCGAATACTGAACTTTTCCAAATTACACTTTTGAAGACTGCATCTTTGAAATTGCACATTTTCGAGACATAACTCTGGTACTAGTTTATCAAAATGACAATGGGAGAAGTTTGTCTCATTGAAATTTCCTCCACTCAGATTCAAGCTGTGTTTTGCAATGTCATGATCGGTAGTTTGATTTGGTTTTCCTTCATTACCAACCATTTGTGACGAGATTACATCCTCAGTTTCTGGACTGCGCTTATTCCCGACAACTGTCAATAATTCTAGCACAGCGCCATCTAGATCAGACCCAGAGTCTTTTGATGATTCGATCATTTCGATTGTCTCAGGTTCCAGAGTGAATGTGATTGTCTTGACTGTTTTATTCTCAGGTCTAAACACACAATGGATTTCTTTGGGGATATTGTACATGTACTTCACAAAGAGATTCAAGCTATCCATGTTGTTTGACCCCAGAGATTTCTGGTCTCGAATGTAGGCAGTGTATTTCTCTAATTCATCCCATGATATATACCAAAATGTTGGAATGAACTGCTGATGGGGATCCATTGAGGAAAAATCTACACGTGTTCTTCCACCCTGTGCCATCGTTGTCTTATCTACGCTACACAACTCAAATACTTTATCATGTTCATTCCAATTATACATAGGGGCTCTGTAGCCATATATTTGGGGCTTACATTTTTGGCCCCAAGGAGTGTAGCATCTGTAGAACTTGCATTTAACTAGAGGCTGGCTTGAGTCTTGGACACGAAGACCCGGATATTTCAATACGTGATGTAAGCGCCATTTATACTTGCAATTTTCATTTTGATCAAACTTTGTGTGGAGAACAAATTTACTCTTGTTTCGTTTTTTCGGGAGAACAGTCAAAACAGCATAAAGCAAGTCATTGCGTGTAAGCTCAGAATCATTTCGGCGGAGATATGTAAATATGCAATCGACAGCATGTTCCGCTAACATCTGAACATGAGTGCGACCCGAAATCATTCCTAGTTGGTATTCAAACACAATACTTAACTCACAAGCCACATCCTCAACAATCAACTCTACATCCTCATTGGTCAGTTTTGAAAGTTTCTGTATCACCCTGATTCGTCCTCTTTGACACACCCTCCTCAACCAATAATATGCATATGGTAAACATGGAATGCATGATAATGTTCTCTTCAAAAAGTCTGATATGGACCCCGATTTGGGTTTCCGGGAATCATACAAAAAGCTATCACCCGTGTCAACCCCTGTTGACCGATTCCATTGTACATTGGGATGAATCCTTTGTTCTTCGATTGCATAATCATCGCATAATGTAAGAAAATGGCTGATAAAGTGTTGCTGGAAAATGTTTTGATTATTCATGGACTCTGCTACAGTTGGGAGAATCATAAAGTCATCTATGAGGGGATTGTGGCCAAACATTGTCACCTATATCTGGAAATACACAATGCAATGGCGAATATCAACAATCTAGTTAGGCTTCTGAACCTGATATGAGTGAAGTACACAAGTATGCGATGCATATATTATATACTAATGTTATGGTTAAGGAAAATTCAAAGAATAATTTCATTTTTTAATACAGAAACAATTGTCAAGACCATCATGATGAACCATGACATCTCAAATCTGTTTCAGGTGAAACAGAAAGATGTTATGAGTATCAGAATGGTCAAAGACATTCATTTTCAGTTTTGACGTAACTAGCTTTTCCCACCTCTAGTTATTTCATTTAATGCTTGTCCCATATTCCGCCCCTGTACATTTGCTAAATCTCCCTCCTCAATTATGTTTTTGACCAAATATTCTCTCCTTAGTCCTGTAACAACCGGCTCCATTGAGAATTCAATAGAAGATTTGATGGACCAAATAAATTGGTGGACTAAATAAGTTACAAGTTTACTTTTTGTCCAGGTGTTTAGGTAATTAGGGGGGTTCAAAAGTTTGATGTGAGATAAAAAAAAAGACTAGACATACATGTAGTTAGTTTCACATACCCCTCCCCAATAAACTGAAATTCGCGGCTAGATGATACATTCATTTTCTTGACTTGATGTAAGACAATGGAACATTCCTATTTTTTCGACATGAGATGGCTTAGGATATCAATATTACATTACAGCAGGCAAACATTTTTTGTATATACAGCTTTTGTAAATAGACCAGAATGATGCGAGAAGCTGGATTGGTATCATGCTAAAATGATTTGGATTTGGGCCATCAATTCAAAATTCTCAGGAAATTACAGTGATTCAATAGAAAAATCTAGGAATTGATTTGGCTATATACTTAAGGAATAAAGACCGAGATTTTATGATTGATGGCGTAATATATGACCGAAAATTTTATTCTGTTCATTGTTTGACATAAATCATAAAAATCGAGGTCTTTGTTACGATTCTAATATGATAATAAATATTTGCATTTAAGAATTTTAGTGGTCATACATACTCCAATATAGACCAATAAATCAATTGTTCTAGCCAGTGAGACGTCACGTATCATATTAGAATATTAAGTAATGACCCTAAGTAGCTGACTGGATAATAGAAATAATTTAATTTTCTTTGAAAATGTGACTTCTAGGTCGGGAAGATTTCCCATAGACCCAATGTTATAAAATCACAAAAAGTTAAATATCTTTTCTCGTATTGGACAGATAGTATTTTCTTTTAGTGGACATATTTTCATTTGTATAACTATCAGATACACGAAGGTAATATGAAAATTGAACCATTAACACAGATGAATATTGAAGTTTAAGGGAAGTTTCTAATACCCTGTCATATACATGTAATCTTCCCTGAACTAGCCACCTGGTGGTAAAACTGGTAACCACATACATCCAAGTTATTCAGATGATGTGTACCTTGAGAAGAATTGGATATGACTGGTACCAGAGACTGGAAAAAGGCCTAAAAAGATGAAACTCAATGAAGACTGGGATGACGGATGATACACATGCTTATCATGTGCCACACCTATATGATGCATAATAAGGTTAAACTGAGATAAAAACTGTACATGTTACTGGGATAAGAAATGCACCTTCATTATTTTACTAGTATAGGGTGTATCATTATCACTTTCCAAGTCTTGGAGTGGGCAGTGGACCCAAATTAAGGCTGATCTAATAGTTCAGATTGTTCAGAAGTGATAGCTAGGTTGGGTATACAGGAACATTAAGCACCATCTAAAAAGAGAAGTTAGTGAAAGTGAAATGAGACATTTTTGAAAATTAAACGTCAGATTTTTCAACTTTAAAACAGCTCTGATCATGAGCTAGATAACGCTTCAAGTTTCTGTGGGTCTTGCTGGTCTTGCATCATGTGCATCACTTACACGAGTCTCTAGCCAGTTCTTGGCTAGAAGTAATTTCATCTGGAACACCGTGAACCATTTGAAAAAAGCTGGCTGTCGTGTTATAAATTTATTAAACATTTTAAAAATCGCTAGATAAATAAATCATGAATTAAAATGGAACTGTCTGGGCTCCTTAATGAGAAAGTGCACGATTTCGTCAGGATTTCGTCTAAAATTAAAATAAACGGCTCTAAGAAAAATGGCGATATTCAAAATCTGGACGAAATGTCGTTATTGTCTGACATTAGTAACTGTCTGTAAATTCTAAGTTAGCGATCCAGAAGATGTGAACTAATACATTGATCATTTCATGTGTGTTTTGGAATTTTTGGCACTTAGACCAAAACTTGCAATTCAAATTGTGATGCGGAAAAATGGCGAACATTTGATTTCAAATTTTATGATTACGACATGACCCATATACAGCAGTGAAAAACATGCAGTGATCTATCTTTGGACGAAGGCCAAGATATAGTGGCCTTAGAAAAAGGTAATGCATAGCAATATAACATTAGCCAAATGGGTTGACATTTAAGATACGAGATGGCCAAGTTTTAACTAAATTACACCAAAAAGCGAAGTAAAAAATATACCATTGAGGTTGAAAACTGTTAGTACTCTGGCCAAGAGACTGTTTTGATCACAGGGGCTTGTCTCGAGGCGTCGGGCAAGCCCTCCGATGAGTCTACTGCTTATTAATAGTATTAAGGGGGGTCGGTTTTGATGCAACCTGAAATTTGTAGAAAATGATTGTTTATAAGTTGTTAGATATATCAAGTAAAATATATTGAATCCTTTCAATAATCGACATGCTGATTCAAACAACACTACAGAGTAAACTTACCTAAAATGGTAGCAATCCATCCACTAGTTGCTGAGATGTGTGAAGAACATGTAAGGAAGTGATTAAATTTAATTGAAAATGCAAAACACGACAATTTTCGACCTCAAATTGTTAGCTCCAGAGTCGATTTCTTCCCAAAGACACGTCCACTGTTAAAAAATGGTAGTTCCTAGAGTTCTTTGTTTCCTTAGGTTCATTCCCGTATATTATTTTAAACGAAGGACAGCCTATAACGACTGCTATACGCAAAATAGATGCATGAAATTATGTTTCGAAACTGAAAGTTGAAAAATGGCCGAATATCCCGTGTTCTATGCGCGTGCGCAAAAAAGAAAGTACTTCATTCCCACGATTCAGAACGATTCGAATTACTTTTCGGCGGTTGGATCGGTACCAAATGAAAGATTATTGCCAAGGAACGGAAAACATATTTCGAAGATGAGAGTTATTTGTTTTATCACTAAAGGAAAATATTCCCGCAATATTAGGTGCATCATGGGAAGGGACTGGTGTGAAATAATGAACGCAAGTGACATCTATCTAGAAAAACATGTGGTCATTGCGCATGCGTTCATATAATATGAACTAATCAAATTGCTGGATTGAACGCAACTGCGCATGGAACACATTTTCAGTTTCGAAACATAATTCCATGCATCTATTTTGCGTATAGCAGTCGTTATAGGCTGTCCTTCGTTTAAAATAATATACGGGAATGAACCTAAGGAAACAAAGAACTCTAGGAACTACCATTTTTTAACAGTGGACGTGTCTTTGGGAAGAAATCGACTCTGGAGCTAACAATTTGAGGTCGAAAATTGTCGTGTTATGCATTTTCAATTAAATTTCATCACTTCCTTACATGTTCTTCACACATCTCAGCAACTAGTGGATGGATTGCTACCATTTTAGGTAAGTTTACTCTGTAGTGTTGTTTGAATCAGCATGTCGATTATTGAAAGGATTCAATATATTTTACTTGATATATCTAACAACTTATAAACAATCATTTTCTACAAATTTCAGGTTGCATCAAAACCGACCCCCCTTAATACTATTAATAAGCAGTAGACTCATCGGAGGGCTTGCCCGACCCTCCAGACAAGCCCCTGTGGTTTTGATGAATCAAAATATATTCAAAAATTATCAAGTTTTTCATTGGTTTTCTGAATAATTCCACATAATTCTGTGAAAATGAATCAACCAACACTCGAGAAGATTTTGGGGATCAAATAGAAACATACGCAACATATTCTCATAGCGAAGTACACATTTAAATCTTTAGAGTTTTGTTTTCAAGCACCAGTGACAAATAAACTACAAATAATGAATCCTCACCTTTATTTATGTCAACATGGCTGAAGGGAATTTCCAAATGACGTCACTAACCTTGATCATGACCTACTTTCATATTTTAAGTTTACTTTGCTCTATGATCATATTTTGACTGCTTTACAAAGGAAACTCTTTACATAAAGCAAATTGGGATAGTATTAAGTAACGAGCTAAGTCATTTTGATTGCGTATAAATCATCAAATTGACTGATAATCAATTAAACGTGACTGCGAGAAAATACGAAAGTACGGCCATCCAATTAAAAATTATAATATTACCTAAAATGGCCTCTGCGTGGGCGGTGTGAATAAACCCGGGAGGGAAGTAATGTTGAAATCATTCAGTCGTACATCTTCTGAACTTTGCGGAATAACAGCTACCTGGTAAGGCAATATTTTATATTTCGTTTGAGATAACTGTCATGACTCGTATTCGCTATTTTATATGTCTAAATCATGTTCTAAAAAGGTACTTCGAAATATTTTTTGCAGCAAATTCAAGTTCAAGTTGAGTGAAAACAACTTGGAAGTTTTCATGAATGGAATTGGACTTAGGGCTTGTTATTGTTTTTCTTGTTTATTTTGTTTTGATGTCACACTTCTATTATAAATTTTGTTCAGTCAGATAATATGTGGGAGCTGGGTGTGGGAGTGAGGTGTGGATTTTATGATCAATGTAAATTATACTGCATTTCGCACGATTGTTTATCATTATGATGCATTGATTGTCTTGATACTAGATCACCTCATCAGTGACGTGTGCTTGTATAGTGTTCTTTGAATGGCACCTACAGAAACAACAAAAACCATTGAATTTATTAGGCTAATTTAGCTTGTGGGCAGTTTCGCTGACAAGTGACAACTGACGAATGGACTTTTTATTTCTGATATACTCTCTACTCCTTCGCCACCCACACTTCTACACTTAGAAGTCTACATCCTCTTTCTGGTAAGCAGCTGGGGGTATACTTTATTAAACTTTGCAAATAGCTCAGATTGCTGAAAAAGAATTTCTGCAGATTATGTAAGCACAAAAATGCCATATAACTGTCTGGTTGCACTGCAAGATGATATATATTTATATATAGTCCTACATTTGATATAAGGCCATAAGAAGTAGATTCTTTGTTTTGCGTCCCCTTGCTTGCATGATTTGGAGTAAATCAGAAAAACAAACACATCCAAATAGCAATCACTAGGGTCTGAAAGTACCATTGCATCTTATTCAATCAGAATCAGACGAAATGGCATGCATCAAAATTGACAGCGTTATTGATTACTTTGGCATACATTGTATATTTTCTTATTTTTTACCCTTGAATTATACCTTTATGTTTAAATATATTGTATAAAATGTATAGATATGTGTTTGTAATCACTGCAAATTGGTATGTCATCCCTTTTTATGGCCACAAAATGTATACATTTCTCAGCAAACAAGTTTGTGTTTTTCTTGAGTGTGTGTTTGTTTTCCTTGTACCCTTGCATGATTTGGATTTTGCCAGGACGCAAAACAAAGAATAGACTTCTTATGGCCTAATTCACAGATTTACAGATAGGTAACAGGGATAGATCCAGGTTTTTGAGTACATGTATTACATAACTATCATACATGATGATTGTTCAACAGTTACATATTATCTGTCACTACATTAAAGGTTGAGGTGAGCACATCCATTTGCCACCCCTGAATTTTACCCCGAGCTTCATTTTCCTCATAAGTAGCCTATAGATCACAATTGATGATAAATATGACTGTCGTTTTGCATACTGAATTGCAGTGTTAAAAAAATATAAATTGCTCTGCTTTGCTAAGTAGAGGTTAAAATTAGATGCAAGTAATAGGATGTTTTAACGAGTCCGATATATTATATGACAAACCTTGTTATGTTGTTGATACAGAAAAGGATGTTTTGTTTAATTTATTAGGTGTATTTAAATGATAAACAAACAATGGTAACCTTTCCTTTCATAGTGGTTGTACAAATGTTTCAATTTAGATGAGGTAAATACTAAATGTTAATATTCAGATTTTTCAAATGTGAGATGCTATGGCTACTGTGTGTTATCAAAAAGGCTTCATCAGTTTGTAGGGTATTTGGTAAAATTGAATTGTAGTGGGATAAATTGATTTTTATTTCATACAAAACTGTTTCTTGACATTGCTTGATGATTTGTGAATAAGTGATCTTGGGGTCCTATATAGATGGCTTGTCACAACTAACTTGTTTCCTACATCCAGAAATATGAATCGAAGATAAGCCTTTTACCAGTATATCTTAAACGATCGGATGAACAACTAAAAATAGTTTTTCGTTAATACCTGTTCTTTTGCATGAAGAAAGTTCACCCTCGTCCATGAAATTTTTTGAAACTGAGTTTGATTGATGCAACATATTTTTAGATTCTGTAACTGTTAATGAATGGTAAATTTAACCTAGCATAAGGTCGCCATCTATTGATAGTCATGTCCCATGTTGAATTTTGTGTAAAAATTGCAAGGTTTTATGAACGTAAAATCTATTTTTATCAGTATATCTCCTCCAATATGTTAGGCACCAGATCTTCTTCATTGGAACATTTCATTCTGGATCTATTAGAACTCATAAGGATTTTGAGTAAGTATTGAGATCTGGTTTGGAACTTTAAACCTTACATGAATCTACCTTACCTAAATCTTTATACCTTACATGAATCTTAATAACTTATATAAATCTTGAAACCTTATACAAACCCTTATTCCTAACATCACCATCTTTAGTGCAAGTATAACTTACATAAATCTTTATTCCTTACATGAATCTTAAAATCGTACATGAATCTACAACTTGCATACATCTTTATAGCTTACACAAATCTTTATACTTCAAATGGTTCTTTATAGTTTCTTGGATTTTTACAATTTACATGGATATTTACAGCCCATTTGGTTCATTGTCCTTTTATCATGAAATCCTATGTAGATTGTAAGACACTAGATTTTTGACCATATATAAGGCTGTCAAATCATGACCAAGAAGGATACTGTATTCCATTAATTACAAAAACAATAATCATTCAGGAAATTATTCTTGGTTAAATAAATCATAGACATGTCTGCAGTCCCTGGATATTTGAAGGAGTTTGGACTCATAAATATCATTAAGGGACCTTATCAATAATAGAGGGGGTGGGATAGATAACAGTGTTAAACCATTAGACATTAGTGTCTTGATCATATATGTACATCGGCTGGAATAGGTGCAACTTGTTAGATACATGATGTTTTCATTAGTAGGTGCAACATTTTAATATTTGCTCATCACAATCCTCACCAAATTTGGTCAAAATATGCTTATTTTCATGTATTTTCTCATATTCATGTGGGTTTGAAGAGGTTTTCAAGTGGGCGCTAGTCTATTTTTGTGAAAAAAAGCTCAAGTGGGTGTAGTGCCCTTTTTCTTGAATGCTAGGTACATCATTGTGTAGTAAACACTGCTATAAACAGACCCACTAAAGATAGACTATAGTACAACATTGTGAGATTCCTTTGATAAGCATTTGTAATTTGCGCGATGTTAAATTATTGAAGAACAATCATTGTGTTGGCTTATGAATGATCTAATATTTTGTATACAGTAGATAATGCTCTCTGATTTGTTTTGGATTATCAGTGTTTCAAGGGTATGAGGTCATCTACTTTTTGGTGCTGGTGTGTAGGAAGGAACTGATTCTGTTTTTTCTGACAAAAAAAATGTTTTGTAATTTAAAACAAGTTTAAGAGATGGTAATAACGAAGGAATAAAGTAAACAGTAGGCATGTAGTAAACACTAAATTACATGTAGAAATGCAAGAAGGTGAGACAGGTTATTTACTTATTTACATAAGAGAGAGAAAATGTATGATATAGGCAATACCAGATAAAATAAAATTTCTAGGTAACATTACTATTATCATTTACTTTCGGTTTGTTAACCTGAACATATTATGATTAGAGCTGAACCAGGTATATGTCAACAGAGTAAAATAGGCACATTGCTAATACCTCCATCTATACTGGTCTCTTTTCATGCTTACAATAATTTCTCTCTGAACTTGAATTTATTAAAGTCCCCATCTAAAGTTTAAACCACTTTGGCTTATATTGTAGTCTTACCCAATGTTATCAAAGTGTGATATGTGAAACTTTTTTTTTAAATTTCAAAAAGTGGTTTTTGATAGACTTTTTGTTCCAAAATTTGTGAATTTATTTAAAACTAACATTTAGAGGTCACACATATCTTTTAATTAGCCATAACTCATACCAATGCATAGCATTCATCCTTGCATGTTTTTTGCCGAAAAAATTATGAAAATTGGTTCATAAATAAGCGAGAAATAAACTTATCAGTGCATGAAAATGGTTCCGAGAAAAATGCATTTAAAAATTCTAGTTCTCATAGAAACCAATGGTACAATGATATCTAAAACATAATATATTCTTCCTTTTAACCTGGTTAGACAATCAACATTGGTATATTATTGAAGTCTAGCATATTAAGAAAAGATTGACATGGAAAAAAAAATTTCAATTTTTTTCAAAAAGTTTTTGGTACCTTAGTGACATCACTAATGGTGCAAAATATTTTTGATATGCTAAAACTTTGAAGTGGCCCATTAAATATGGCATTTTATTATTGAAATAGTGTGTCCTTTGATCAATCTTTGCATTGGTGTTAAAAATATAATCTTTTCCAAAATGCATTAAGAACTATTTGATGATTAAAAAATTTCAACTTTTTTTGAAAAATGGCGGGAAATTTGAATATTTGAGAAATGAAATGCTCACAACTTTTTTTCAAAAAAAATTTTCTTTCAAAAATCTCTAAAATAACTTTTTAAGTCATGACAAATAGTAAATGAATGATAAAAAAATATTTTCAAACTTTAGACGGGGACTTTAAGGGTTCATTTATTTTGCAGGTTGTGACCTCATAAAATTTTGTGTCCTTAGGTCAATGACAGATCTATCTGACTATGTTTTGTTTGCAAAATGATTA